AAGCTAGGACGTCTCGCTGGGGATCATGGGGACTTACATTACCTCGGCCTCCTGCATGATACCCAAGCAGGATTTACGTCATTACTTTAGCCACTGGTGGTTGTGCACAATGCTAGCCAATATTTTAAAACAATTAACAATGAGTTGGCTTTAAAACACTGGTTGATGATAGTTACATCGATTATGATAGGATTACGTGTCACACAGGGGGACAATAATTTTACGATACTTATAATAACGCCCTGGACTAAGCCAGTAATAAAATCAGTTGATAATAACATCACACCACATTTAAAAACAAGCATTTAATTAATCACATAAATATTTAAAATTTATTAAACAGAGCAATTTCCTTTAAATAGCTGATGATAAGATGCCCGCTGACACGGGAAAAGAGATCATTCATATTTATGCTTTGATAATGTGAATCCTTTGCGATTGCAAAGTCCACACACTGAAACAATATATGCTTGACTGTGAACCTTTCATCACAAGGGATACACTTAGGGGGTTCGTCCGCATCTGTCTTAAGCAGATATTCGTGGGTAAACTGACTGTGGCCAATACGTCACCGTGACGTCTTGACTGACAACCCAAGTTGGTATTACCGATTGTTGGTTTTAATTCGTAAAGTTTATTGCTTCCTTCTAGTGTGTCACACCTCTTTTGCATGAACACCAGATTATAACTTTTAATAGTTGGTTTCAAATCGCGGTACGGGATAAGTAGTGGAGATAACGGTTTGTCAAGAGCTGCTTCAACTGCAGCATCGGCTCTTGAGTTACCTGTTATGATACATGACTTGGCAACCAGCTAAAGACGATGTCGCATTGGCCAGTAGAAAGATCGTTATAGAGTTCTAAAATGTCAAGGATTATGGGATGATTTGAGGAGACACTTTTAAGTGCCTGAAGACAAGATAATGAATCAGAGAAGATGATGCATTTTTTAGATTGAGTTTGATGTTTAATATAGGTCAAAGCTGTTAAGATAGCTTTGGCCTCAGCAGTAAAACTTGAACTAGAATTTGATATTCTTGAGGAGACAGTTCTGGATCCAATGATGGTGTCACTAGCAACTTTGCCACCATCCTTGGATCCGTCTGTAAAAATGAACCTGTGAGAATTATATTGAGTTCACTATTGTTTGTTGGCTTGCTGATAAACCAACGGATTTTCTGAATTTTTTAGTTGGGTTAGAGTGACGTTTACCTTTGGCTTCACCATCTGCCAGGGAGAAGAAGACAGAAGTCGGGAAGGTGATCTTATATTTAGATCTATTTTAGCTGCAGTGATGTGTGGTTGAATTCGGATTTCAAGTGGTGGAATCAAGGGCACACCGATCCGTTCAGTTTCTGTTCCAATGGACTTAAGAGGTAAAATTAAACAAAACGTACTGAAACCCCAGTTGTAGTATATGAAAGTGAGAAAACCCAATCACAGAAATGATCTGCTAAATACAGAGTCGCTAATACGATTCCGGATAAGTCATAATCATGTGTTTATGAATCATGGTCAATAGTGATAATTCTAGATGTTCGTGAAAAGGATCACGACCACATGCACAGGCAAGTCAATTTTCACCTCAAACAAGTATAAGTCAACATAAAGAATTGTATCAGACATATCTTTTATCACTGAACGCCCTCCACATATGTATCACAAAACGCGTTTGAAAGGCTGATTGCCTGGTTTGTCTACAGGCTGCCTTCACGTGGCAGGCAACAAACATACGGTTATTTTTCTGTGCAAATTGTGAGGGTGGCGGCTGCTACAGGTAGGCCAGGACATGATAACCCTTTTCGCGAACACCTGGTGTCATCACTGATTTTCAGTGATCCGGTCATTTAATTGTCACCATTCCTTTGCATTTTACTCCTAATAGAATGTGATTATGAATCACAATGTGATTGATACGAGGAGCCTATTCTCCCCCACCGGTGGAACCTGTAACACATTATAAGTGGAACTTTGCAGATATCAACAACAACAACAACAAAACATGGTTTGCAGAATTCAAAATGACTGTGAAAGGTGGCTATTCTGTTATCTATATCATTCTAGATACAAGCGTTCATGAAAAGCGCAATGAAGCATTCATTGACAAATGCTAATGCGAAATTCGTGACAGATTTACACAATGCTTACAACAAAGCTTTTTCATTGCTGTATAGAAATGAAAGCAACAATATGTTCCGTTTTCGTTATCAGTGTTAACAATGGTGATCATGTGTAAATTACAATTTACTTCCTTGGTGCTACACATTTGCGCATATGCGATTGTCAGCAATAGTAAGTGAGTGTGAGTGTGAGCGTGTGTGTGTGAGTGTGAGCGTGTGTGTGTGTGTGTGAGTGTGAGCGTGTGTGTGTGTGTGTGTGTGTGTGTGTGTGTGTGTGTGTGTGTGTGTGTGTGTGTGTGTGTGTGTGTGTGTGTGTGTGTGTGTGTGTGTGTGGTGTTCAGTTTTACAAGGATATTCTACTCACAGTCTACCGAATCCGAGAGGGCCAGTTCTTTTCTTATCCACCCATCGGTGGCTTCAAGCAGAGTAACGACAAATAACGTCTTTTAATACGACACGTGTTTCTAACCTAGAAAACAGAACACAATATTTACAATCGCGTTTGATTTACTTAACAAAAGATAATGCACTTATTTACTTACCTCAAGTTTAGACCATGCCAAGTTTCAAAGAAACAGGGCCGTGCGATGAATGCAAACAAAATCATCGGTGCATGTAAGTGTGACACGTGAATAGGAAACACGTTTTCTTCTTATCACTGTGATAGTACGTACGTGTAATATGTATCCGGTTCCATGTATTTACATCATGGACATGAAAGTATTACTTAATCGTGTGTTTCTTGAATTAAGTATGATCAAAAGCATCTATATTAAATATCGTAAAGGCTTCTCGACGGGATAAAGCACACAGATAAAAACGCTTCTGTCCGGACCGGTAATAGATAATTATATAGTCAAGGAAGAAAGATTAGGTATATATTGGTACTACTTTCAATGTTTATTACCAATCATGGAATTGATATTAACAGGGTAGAGTGTAGATTTTTTATTTATTACTCACTTAAACTTAAACGAAATTCAAGGTCTTAAAAGTAGACTGTTGCGATTATCGTTGTTATGATCTTTCGACATAATGTTTTATTTATGAGTGATGCTCTCAAACTTAATAAATCCCTGATGCTTGCACAACTACAATGCAAAGTATTAGTCCTGTTATAGCCAACTCTAAAAACACAAAGACTTAACAAGCTAAAGGAAAGTATAAAGTTTTTAGGATGCATGCGCCATGTGTTTGTGCATCTCTGGTGTTTTGTAAAAAATAGTCGTGTCCATCGGGAGTAGAGTATCCGTCATGGAGTAGAGTAGATGTTGCAGAGCACAGTTGCATAGTGCTGTCTGCTGGTGAAAATTGTCCTGTTCGCAGTGTTGAATAAAGGTGTATTGTTATTAAACGGGTGATCTGTTTCGGCTGAGACTATCGCGCGAACGTATCAATAATTAACATTTAGCCACATGCAACAGTCGTGTTTCACTCACATCGATCTGCCAAACAATTGTCGTTTTTTATTTTTTTTCTAGCCTGTATCATGTACCTGATGTTACAACAATTACCACGTTACGCATGCGGTGTGGTACGATAACATTGAACACCCTCCAATGACAACACTCATGTTAGCACTCGTATTCCCGAGAGCAGCGATTGTAGCAGTAAATACTTCATGGGTTACACGTGAGTTAATCATACCGGAACATTTGACATCAACAGTGATTGAACACAAATCCTTGATTGACAACTACTTCATAACAACACAAAGCATTTACATTTGCTCATGGGGTGTCGCTTGTTTCTATATTTCTTAGTCAGTGGAGTGTAGACGGTGATCAACTGAATGGATGGCATAATGGTTCCCCATCCAAAAACATCACACAAGAGAGACGGGACTAAAGAATGGATTGAAAGTTATTACTTGTGGAAATCGAATGCATTTGTTTTTATTTAACATGTCATCCTCGATGTGAACTAAATTGCTCATTCATTATCACAAAAGAAATCGTCCTTGCGAAGCGGTCATTACATTGGACACGGTATACATTTTGTAATATGGTCCGCCAATGAACCAAATTTACAATGTCTAATATTCAGCCTTACCTCTGACAACACTCTTTTTCTTCTATGTCGGGGCGGTCGGGTAGCCTAGTTGTTAAAGCGTTCGCTCGTCACGTCGAAAACCCGGGTTCGATTCCCGACATCGGTACAATGTGTGAAGCCCATTTCTGGTGTCCCTCGCCGTGATATTGCTGGAATAGTGCTAAAAGCGGCGTAAAACCATACTCACTCACTCACTTCTTCAATGTCCTCAAGATTCGACATTATTGTCCATATATAATGACTGACCGCCATAAGATATACTATCATACCTTGACAATATCACGAAATATTTAAATGTCCCCAGCCAAGCTTAGCTTAAATCATAAAAAAAAGATAAAGTGAAACTACACACACATAACCATTCTCTTCAAGAATATATAATACAAAATTAATTCCACTGCATTTACATTGGCACTGCCTTAGAAAAGTGTGATTTCGTCAGATTTTAGGTGATAATAAGCGCTCTGCCTGTTAGACACAAGTTTAATATTGTCCATAAATGAACTTCTTTCATTCATTGACCTAGAATGTAGGTTTCAAATATACCACATTACGAAAAGGACCATAAGTTTATGTAGCCGAGTTTCAATTCAGACGAACTGGTGTTCTGCGCTATTTATTCTGCAAACATAACTGAACAAACATACATCGAATGAATCGAAGCATGGGACAGATGAACAAGTTTAATCACAAAAGCCAGAGACAGATTGATATGATTGTTAGGGAAACGTTTGGTTCTAAAACACGATGAACAAGGTTTTCCTCATTTGAAAGAGCACAACGATAGAGAACCTAACGGTGATGTTTATTTCAAGGAAGTAAATTCATATTTACTGCGATGTTACGAATATGGCGAGAGATCAGTCAATATCTTACCTTTTCTTACTGTTTTTGTCACAGAATGTTCATTGTAAGTATGACACTTTTATTTCAAGTATCCACTTATAGTCTCGTATCATCTAAAGGAACGTAAGAAAAGGGAAAGTGTATATGTCAGGCCACTAACAAACATTTATATGTCTACGCAACCTATGCGAAGTAGGGCAAGACATGCGTACCCTTTTCGCGAACACCTGGTGTCTTCACTGAGTTTCAGCAATTCATTTAAATAGTTATCACCGCAATTCCGCCTGTTACACCCAATGGATGTGTCGTCGTAACATCAAGACTGGTTGTTCTCTGACGTTGACGTATTATATTACACGAGATGGGGAACAAATGAGACATGTAAAAAGCAAGTGAATCACAACAATGGTAACTCAGTATTGCTCTGAGATTGGATATGTACATGCATAAAAGTGTGTGTATTGTTGATGAACAATGTATATATACCAACGTGGTTTCTCAGCAGTCTCAGATTTGCTTTGACCACACAAAGCGAATAAGGTACTGTGTAATGCTTTAGAAGGGCTTCTTTGATGCTGACAGCGAATTTGCGAGTTTCTATACCTTCTCGCATTTGCTCTCGGAAACCTTTTGAATTAGTAGTGTGACGATGCAAATATCTATCGTTTCCTCCGAACAAATAACACATTATAATCTCGACCCTTGTCACCTAGGGCAATTAAAGGAATACAGAAGCCGCTTATCTCGCCTCTGCCACTCAATGTCCCACAATGTGTAAATATTAAAATATCTTAGCGCCAGAAAGAAAAAGAAAAAACTCGAATATTCTCCAAAACAGATTCCATTGGGTATAAAAGATTATTATAATAATTATTATAAAATTAGCTGTGAAACATATATGAATGGATTAAAACGGTAAGCATATCATGTAGCACATTCTACGCACACTATTTGCATGAAAATGTAAGTTTGTTAGTTGATTTACACAAGCAGTGAGTATCGCGGCGTTTTACACAAGCAGCTAGTTGCTGTAACGCGGGTTCTATAATAGAAATATCCCAATGATGAGAGGCAAGCTGTTTCAAACCTACCGACATAGACTGATCACATGAGTCCCATAATATCCATGCTCACGTGGCTGGTCCATGAACTGTTTAACCTACCCCCAGCAGCCTTCAGGAAGCCAACGTATCTCGTTTCGTATATCTGTTTCTGTATTCTCAATATTACGGCATCTGTAATGCATATTTAAATACAACAAATCCGTAACGTATACAACACATTAGTAACTTGAAACATACAAATATATTCAAACGATTCCTTTGGACTAATCAACTGCATAAACGTGACATGTCCAATGTTTAGCGATACAACTCGTGACTTTAGAATGTTATTCTGTGACATAATGTCCATGGATCTTCAAAGTTCTTTGTTGTCTAGCGAGTATCACACTAAAGACACATGGCAAAATAAATACATACTAAACACTTTTAAACCATCGTAACAGCTACGCTTGCCTTCGTCCATAAAGGTTACATATCAAGAAGATAATATTCATTTTAATAACAAGTAATTGCGAAAAATCATTTTCACCTGATTGTTTTTTGTGAAGTATTATATTATTTTTCTCATCTAGGCACCAACATAAGCATATCTGGACCATTACAATATGCACGGATAGACCAGAGTTTGCAAATGACATGCACAGTACCTGAGAGTGAAGCTCAACTTGGGACTTTTACTTTCAAGAGAAACTATACCTATGGGATCTGTTCAAGGACGGTGACGACTTGTACACCACTTCTGGATACCGTTGGATATAACTGTTCATGTGGTGCACAAGGTGTTTTAAACTTAACTATTTTGAAAGTTAGGTTGCGAGATATAGGTATATGGTCTTGTGAACGTGCGTCCAGCAGCAGTCTTTACCTGAATGTATACTGTGAGTAAGATTACCCTATGATACTTTTACTCTTATTATCCTTTTCGTGTGTTTTTTTTTATAACATTTACCATTCCATTTACCATTTGACGTTACAAAACGTCTTTTTGTCCTTAGTTCATATCTTACATGATTGTTGCGTTTGTGAAAATAAGTGACAAATTATCAAAGTTGCATCAAAACTGGCAGAAATATGTTTTAGTGTGTGTTTTAATGGCGAGGTAATGGAAAACAACCTGTTCGATACTCATGTTTGAAATTGAATCAGTACTTATGTGACAACTATATAAGTTTTGTGTTCATACCCATTGCTACCCTGCAACCTTTCATACATGTACCGCCTTGCGATTACCATACACTGGGATGATAAATGATTTAATGCACTTTCACACGGGAGTCTAGTATGAAATCTTGGATTAACCATGCGTTTATTGATTTATCGGGATATAAATGATTAATATAATGTATATATGTTACAGTTAAAACGTAAAATCAGTTATAAGTTATACCTCATTAAATGTTATATTTAGGTATTATATATAACATCTTATTTACTCTGTTATTATACATACTAACTGAAATTCCCATGTGTTATACGTAATATCTGAATTGAAATTACAATGTTAATGCATAGTAGTTGACTGTTGTGTTTTTCAATTTGATTTGATAGGATAGTTCACTTACTAAGAAAATAATAAGAAAACATCTGTGTGTAAAGAACTGTCGAGTGATAAATATAATAGTTATAATAGTCCTTATATCAAATATTGACAGTAGTGGGTGACCTCGCCTAGTTGAACACTACCAAGCTGACGGTCGTTCGTTCCCCGATGCACGTTAGTATGGTACGTGATTACGTTGCCAATCGAGCGGAGACATTCAAAACTACTTTAGTGGAATTTCTCAATGTCTAAAAATAACATTACAACGTCACAGAACGTGTGTATAGAAAGTTTACTTCAGGACAGCAAACTAATTGGTAATTAAGACAATCATTTTCATTAAAGGCATATAGTGACATTGAAGTTAAGATGCGTGTCAGTGATGTTGTTAGCATGTCATGTATGTCTGGATTTGCTTCAGACAGTGATCTAAAGTTCACGTGTTAATACATTGAAAAAAAAACAACATACGACCGTTCTTTATGACAGATAATTAGAGGGAGGGAGTGAGCTTAGAGTAACGTCGCTGTCAACAGTATTTAAGTAGAGGACTAACTTTATTTCTTGATCCGTGGGGCTTTTGTTACAAAATGGGGTGATCATAGAATCAGTTACCATTCTGTCTTCAGAGGTTCAGGACAGTTTGTCCAAAATGAGAGCAAATGTCATCTGAAGTTCACTGATAAAGCAATTTGTGAAATGCTGGTCTTCCTCTTTGAAAACATCTATGTTATTGCTTTGGGAAATACATTTAGGTAAGATGTAAGCATCCCCATGGGCACAAAATGCACTTGCTGATTTGTTTCTTCATGCATATGAGTCGGAATTTCTGGTCGGAAGTCAAAACAAGGTAATTTGGCCAAGAAGTTTAACATGAGCTTCAGGCATATCGATGATCTGATATCGTTAAACAACCACCAAATAGGCAATTCCCTTCCACTGATTTACCCACCTGAACTAGAAATTAAGGACACCACCGCGACCGCCCCATCTGTTTCATATTTAGATTTATGCATAAAGATTCGGAGTGATAAAACACTCTCAACAAGATTGTATGAAAGATACAATCGAGCATGATCTTGATACCAAGATTTCAAAGAGTGTCATACGACTCTTGCTCAGTAGTTCTTGTGACCAAGGCTACAACATTCAAGGCCTCGGTAAAGCTTTGGAAAGTATTTATGGTGGACATGTGGAGGACATTTTGAAATGATGTCTGCTGCAATTCCTGTATCATATGTTCCTGTGTTTCTGTCAGGTGAATCATCGATTGCATTTATATGTGTTTATGATATGTGTCACCGGTGTGCAAGGACACTCTTACTTTTTCGCGAAGACCTGGTGTCATCACTATATGATAATGTTTCATAAACACATGCTAATGATATAGTCGGAGGACGTTTATGGTACTGACAATCCAAGAAACATAATCAAAACGAACACGTGTAACGGGACAACTCTGTAAAACGAATTTGGAGCCTTATCTGAACGTGTTGGATACGGATATAGACCATGTTAAAAAATTCACCAGAACATGTGCTCGCATTATCCCTGTGTTCAGTGTCAATAAATCCACACAAATAAATGTTTATGTAATTATAATTTACTGTGAATGCATTGGGTTAAAGTTAAAGAACATACACACATGAAGCGCATAGTAACAATGAATGTGCTTTTGTAGATCATAATTCTGAGCAATAGTCTGAGTATATATCACGGAATACTGGATATACATAATCTGATGTTGTTCATCGTGACAGGTGCATTGTTATGCTTCAGATGGCCCATTTAACAACGTGACTGTTGACAAAACTTCTCCCATGACAGTGATAGAGGATGTGACTGTATCTCTGACTGCCAGATGTTCTGCTGACTGTAACCCTGGCTGTAGCTACATCTGGATGAGTGGGACGCAGCAGGTGTCTCACAAAAGAGATCTTCCTGTGGGCACCTTTAGGAGAGGCCATGGGGGAGACTACACATGTACAGCAAGGAACACGGCTACTGGAGATACAGCTCATAGCCAGACACTCACAGTGAATGTACAGTGTAAGTATTAGATGTGTATCATGTGCAGTACAGAGAGAGAGGTTAGGAGGGAGACTACAGATGTGCATCTAAGAACACAGACAATATAGCGGTATATGTAACTAATTCACCACCGCAGTGAATGTTCAGTTTAAGTATCACATGTGTATCATTGGAAGAAAAGAGCAAGGCCCTATGGTAGACATCACATGTAAAGTTTGTGGACGTTGGTGTGTGGATGGGTGGGTGGGTAGGTGATGGGCGGAAGGGCGACTTCAGACGTACAGTCACGTACAAACACACCATTACATGTATTGAGGCCCTCACTGTGAATGTTCAACTGTCGGCATTCATGTTACTCATCGGGTCAAGATTGCCTTTCAATTCTCACTTGAGTTTCACAGGGCGTCCAACACTACCGACACACAACTGTCCCTCCTGGATAGTCACTGGTCAGACAGTCACCTGTAGATGCCAGACAACAGACAGAGGTAACCCTGAAGGCACAATCAAGTGGATCAGTCCTGGAGGTCAGACGTTGGCCTTCTCAAGGTCTTCATCAGTGTCGCTTCATCTAGCCTCCGTCCCAAAATCTGACAACGGCACGACCTTCATATGTAAGGCTGCCAACCCTCTCTCAATATCTGGAGGGGATTCAATCTACAGCGTAAATATTGCGTGTAAGTTATATTGTAGAGATTACAAATAGACAAATAGAAGACACATTATGAGTATATAAGTACTTGGCATAGTGATCAAATCAAATGACCCGACTAAGTTAAAATATGAATTATATTAAGTGTGATATCAGTGATGTTACATAGTAACCAAAGGAATTTAAACAGATCAGTACTATCGGATGATTACTATGTTTTCGCTGATACGTTAAGAATAACCTTGACTGATGCCAATATCAAAGGTAGATACAAAAATGTAAATAGCAAACGCAAAATCGCGATATTTTCGCTTAGGTATGACATGCAGTGAAAGATAAGATTTTCATGTTATAACTTGTTTTTTTAATGTTCTCACACGTTTCATGGGGTAGTATGATGTCTAATGTTTATAATTGCACATGGTCCAGTTAAAATAATAATTTTATTACAGACTTGGAGAGACCACAGTTGAATTTTGACAAGGTAGAAGCACAAGGGACTGCCTCAGTAACTGTGACATGCACCGTTGAGAGTAATCCCATTGCTGAGATGACAATGGAGAACATTGGCAGTGAGGCACAACCAGCATTTGGAGTTACAAATAACCTCACGTTTACAACAAAGGCACATTGTCTGCACGATAAGTTTCGGTGCACAGCTGAGAACAGTCAAACAAAAACCCAAATATCCGCTAAGGAACAGTTGAATGTTGCATGTAAGTTTAATTTCGAGTGTCGTTTAGTGATACAGTCCTATGATACAGTCTTTACAACTTCGTGATTGCCGGATTCCACATTCACACATCCAAGTCACAGCTACCCCTTGTTACATCCTGGTTGTCTACAGTACGAGTAATATACATACACTGTAGACAGCTTGCATACAGCTTCCACTGAGGAAAAGATTATTTCCATTCGATTAGTGCAACTTGTGTATTCATTATCATGGATGTTCAACCATGACTGTTGATTTGTGTACATGATGATATGCATCCCAAAGGAACTCTCAGGTTATTGAATCTCAGAGAAGATATACTTACAAGACGTACTACTGGAAAATTCAGTTGGATAGAAAGAATTTATTTTAGATATTTCGTTTCATATGCTCTACACGAAGTGTGAAGGGTTGACTCTATCATGACAGGAATATCTGCCTTCCGAACGTCTAACATACATGTAACCCGACAAGATGATTTGAACATTACCTCTCAACTAAATTCATTTTAGGTTCCCCGCGTCACGACTCCAGCAAGCAAAAAGACAGCATTGTAAACGGAAAACCCCAAACAACTGCATCTCTAATAGCAGATGTCATAGCCAACCCACTACCTAACTTCACCTGGTATCATTATCAAGGGATGACCCCAGTACCGGTTGTTGTTGGAACAGACAATGTTGTCCTCACTAAAGGTCTTCAGTCTGTTCTGAAAGTGCACATCAAACGTGACGAGGATTACGGAATTTATCGTGTTGTCGTCCAGAATCGTGTGGGCATCACTTCCCTTTTCTTCAGCTTAACAAAGGATGGTGAGCTCGAATATTGCTAAGGGAGTTGTTCACACAAAGCATCATGGTGAAACTGATACTTACTCAGATCCGTTTGGCCTAAAATTGAAACGATATTTTTTTGCCAATCATACTTGGTCAAGTCGAGGGGAAAGCGATCTTACAGATGCCTACTTTATCTGTTTCTTCTAAATTTCCCCATCTCTCGATCTAGTAACAATTGTTTGGCAGACAATATTGGATGAGTGTTACACAAAATGTGATGAAATCAAAACAACCAGGGTACCACATGTTTAACCTCTGAGCACCCTAGATTAGTGTGTTTATGTGGTTAAAAAAGAAAATGTTTAGCATATATATGCAACAAATACATTAATGGACGTACCAAAATTGGAGCAATGCTGCATTTAGTTTTCATTTTCAAATAATTATGCTTACAAAACAAAAATTATTTTTCCCCAAACCAGTTGTAAGTCACTTAATTTAGCTCGAAATCTGGCGACACGGACAATATTTCATTTATTCTTTATTCTATGAGGACGTCAGAAACGCATGGTTCCCAGCTCAGTGTAAAATATATATGATGTGGTAGGCGTCTCATCATTGGCATAGGGTAACATGTTCGTGTTTATATTTTTTAAAACCATATTGAGGGACATTGAGGATATGCTAAGAATGAATATTGTTGTTTTGCCATTTACATCGATTTCAAAATGCAATAACAAGAATGGTAATTATGTAAATTGTCCGAACAGAGATATGTCTGTACCTACTTTTCACTGGTCGTGGAGTGTTTTATTGTCTTATGGTATCACTTATGATATCTGTAAATGATATGACACTGAACATAGAATTTTTATGGGAAGTCACAACAATGAAGTGTTCTTTGTGAGTGATCCATTTTGTGTATTATACAACTGTCAAAAGAGTGTTGAAGATGAAAGACAAAATATGCCCTTTCAAGTATCCAGAGGGCTTTGACTTCGCCTTATCCAGTGAATCTGTTTCACGATCCTATGTTCATACACTTGTTTCAGTGTCGACACCAGAAATCCTCCCTGTAGCTGCCGGAGAGGGAGCTGTCATTGTGATGCTGATTGTAGCTATAGTCATCATTCTTATCAGACGAAGTCTCTTTAAAGGTACAGGCAGCTATATCAGTATCAATACTGGTGCATGTATATGTATTTTGATACTTAGTTATGTCAGGCAGGAAGAACTTGCAAAGCTCACCGGATATTATTTTCACGAATACACACTTTCGAGGTTTCGACATTTATGGGAAGCATGTGAAAAATCGCAACAAATATTCATTTGTTTGAATGTAGGAGTATTTAGTTGTTCAGAATGTATTATTCCTTGGTAACATACAAACATAGAACAATAGGATGACATTACAATAATTATGTATGTTCTGTGAAGGCCCGCATACACGTACACTGCATGAATTGGTATACACTTTGAAACTTAAACTAATTCACTTGTTAACACGGGAATGCATGTACATGAGAATCATAGAGTATCTATGGGGAATGAGAGATTCTCAACGCCTAAGCGGCAAAAATACTTCGCCGCAGCGTTGACGATGCATCATCGAAACCATATACATATTGTTTTAGGTGGCTCAAGACAGTGTTTGCCTGGACGGTATGTTGGGAATAGCAATGGTGAACCAATAACAGGCCTAAAACGAGATGTACGGGAAGACGGTTGTGTTTCTTTTAACTCATACCAATACATCAATACGTATCTTTATTACTCTATGCTACCACTAGTAACATGCTCAACTGTACAACTGAATACAAGAAAAGTAATACAGCTTAATAAATTAATAATTTAATTATCCTAAACAGGTAGGACAGCAAGGTTTCGAGTACGCTGAAAAATTCCCGAATCAATCTCTTGAAGGTGTCCAAATTTACCAACCTGTTTTACAGAGATGTCAACGTGGACGAGATGCGGATGACCCATTGCCTGCTGAGCCGGACACGTATTCAAGTATAACCAGACATGTCATACCATTTTAAAACACTATTTGCCTCAGCCACAAACCAGTTAGAAAAAAGCTCGTAAACTATGTCATTCTCTGCAAAGTACAATTTGTCATTATAGACATCGATGCAAAAAATACATATTCACATTCGCAACTGTATAACAGTATACAGTGTAACTAAACAAGCATGTCAAATTATATATATTTATACGAATCCAATGCTGGTAATTTAATGCAATTTGAATAACAAGAGTTAAAGGGGCACATGTCACATGTATTTCAATCTTTGAAATAGATGTATATTCACGTGTTCAAGAAGCGGAGGCTGACAGGCAGACATATACAGAACTGAGGGAGTTTGAAACTTCCAGCGATACATCCCCGCAGGGTAAGCTAGATGTGCATATGCATAAACTCGTCATCATTATATGTTTACAATACTAGTTAATGTAGAGCGTTTCACCAATGACGAGTATGAATATACCATGGCTTTCATGTGCACTAAGTGTCTGATCCTATGATGGTCAACATGTCAAACAGTGGTGATTCGATGACGAATATCAATAATATATACTGCATAGATTTTTACTGATGGCATGAAACAATTCTGACATAATTAAATGAATACTAATATTGATATTGAAATGATACAAAATGAGGTTATCTTTGCAGGTAATATTGCATATGAAAGTCTTCAAGTAAGAACGCCACAAGTATATGAAGACATTAAAAGAGCGACACCTGTGCATGAAACAGAAAACAGCTGAGGTACTTTCTACATTACGCTACTAAATTGTGAATTAATGTACATATTATGTTCAGGATACAAGTTAATCTGTTGCAGTTTGTTAGCATTACATTGTTATCCCTTTTTCCTTTTTCCGACCCTTGCACAAAATGTGTTTGCTCAGAGTTACATCGCTCAATGATAAAATGTTTTATGGTAAACATATGAAGCTTCAGTCTCCAAAAGATGTCTGATACAGAACCATATTTTGACTTGTATCATCTGCTCCTATGTTTGTTTTCAGGTGAATCATTGGTTTTCCGTGTTTGTCACGGGTACCACCATAGAGTCAGGATGCGCTCACCTCATCGCGAACACTCGATATCATAACTATTTGATAGAGATTATTTAACACATGCTCATGCTAAGGTCGGAATCGTACGATAGACTTCTATAGTCGTTATTTATTTGGTTTTATTCGTATATATTTTGACAGTAGAGAAATAGAAGGAGCTCTTGACGTATTCAAACGGTATTGAGCATAAATCAGATAATGTATCTGTCAATTAAAGAGCGATACATTTGTTTATGTCTATAGCATAGACTATTTGTATTTACGATGTGAAAATATTGAAATTTTAATTTCCTTAAAACTAAAATATGTTTTAAATATATGTTCAATGCATAATACTTATTAAGTGGGTATCAACACCATGCAGCTATACAGTATAACAGATTGTGAGGGTATAATCAATGTTCAATTCAAAACGGTCAAAGCAATCATTTTCATTAGAAGATAACTTTAAGCATTCATTATCTTTGTCACCAGCATTCTTTTCATGTTCTAGTACCTGTGTTTGTTTTTGAGAATTATGCACCTTACATATCTTGTTATAAAAAATAGAAAAATAGAAATAATTTATTTTTTTGAAAGGAATCATAATGTTCTTTCATTCTTTATTTCTCTGTAAATAAATACTAATTCCTACACAATATTCTACTTCGTGTTGTTTATGAACTTTGTTGTTGTGGAAGTACATCCGTACTATCTTCTTGTAATTCAGCCTTTGTTTATGGTTTTACTTATCTTTACGTTTCTCAGATAGTTTGTATTTATGATTTCCCAGACAAATTAAAAGTGTTAATAGTAACAATTCGTAGCAAGAATTTATCTTGTGAATGTAGTCGTATGACACTTTGGGTATGTAACACGTATTCCATTAACTGCAGTACCCATTAATACAACCGAAACACACATCTGGCCGTCGCGTACAGTTGAACAGCGTCTCTTGTAATTGCCAAGGGTTATCTACAAGGTGAAGTTTATCAAAATAACCACGCTGTCACATATTTGACTAGTTGCAAACGAGGACTAAATAAGGTAAGTTTAAAAGTTATACATTCAGCCAACTGTGACATCGGGGGTAAAACGGTTTCCCCTTGTATATAACTCACGCACCCCTCGTGTGTTATTTCTTGTAAAAACAGAATCAAACGAACACACGGAACAACTGTTATTAGTAAAACATGGGTGAGTGGTTTTTAAGCCGCGTCAGTATGTCAGTTATATCACGGCGTGTGATCTGGATAGTGGTTGTGAAGCCGAATAATAGAGGAGGAGATGTCTTCAGATGACTTCAGATCATTACCAGAAAGTGGGTGAGAACAGTTGACATTATACCACACTCTCAAGGTCTTAATAAGATAGTGAGTGAGAACAATAAAGATACCGGCGGTTTCAGTTCATCCTAACACAATGGTAAAGAACCGTTGAGGCTAATTCTGGGACCGTTGATGTGAACAGTCGTTGAGATTCCACAAGCTTCAGTTCATGGATGTGGATGAGAACAGTGGATTCTATACTGTTGGTTCTTAAAAACAGTAGGTGATCATGAGAACAGAAGACATTATACCTCAAACTTTAGTTCTTCATAAGAGGTGAGGTGAGGTGAAATTGGTTTTAACGTCGCGTCCAAGACGTGTGTGTGTGTGTGTGTGTGTGTGTGTGTGTGTGTGTGTGTGTGTGTGTGTGTGTGTGTGTGTGTGTGTGTGTGTGTGTGTGTGTGTGACTGCTTGTACTAGTCTCACTGAGATACCATACCGCAGTTTAACATGAATATGCCACTCCGACACTGTATACCGACTCCGAGGCGACCAGTTCTTGTTTTAGCCCTTTAATGCCGAGCGCCAGACAGGGTTACAACAAGTACCATCTTTTAACGTCTTTTGGTATGACGCGGCCGGGGATCGAACCCCGAACCTTCCACTCTACGGGCAGACGCTTTACCACTAGACCACGGAGGTGGCTCTCATTGAGAGCAGTTGACGTTATACCATAAGACAGTGAGTGAGAACAGGAGAGGAAATGTCACAGGCTTTAGTTCATCATAAGACAGTACCTGAGAAAGAGATGTCACATACGTCAGTTGATCCTTTCACCGGTTTTTGGCAGATACAAATGTATGACACATTTTTATATTTAATTTAATGGCAGTCTTCGCAGTACAGTGAGTGAGCGTGTTTGGTTTAACGCCGGTTTGAACGTTATGTCAGTAATGTCACCGCGTGTCTACTTGATGTGGGAGTAAGCAGGCTTTAGATTGTTCCTTTGAAGAAACCCACAAGAACAAGTATGGTGCTGACTGATCTAGAAATATAATCACTGTTTTAAAACCCACAACACGGCTAAGGTATACCACTCTTCACAGGAAATGATGGCGCAAAAGACCACTGCGCCCAGTTACCATCAACATGAATTTATCCAAGTATATACATTTGCATAGATAATAACGGCAACAATTATGTTAATTTCAGTAAATAAAAGACGTTGTTCCTAACAAGACTCGTAGGGTTTCCGTGATCGATTGGTCAGACACAGTGGGTGAGGATCTTTCTTTGTCAGTGGTTTGCCTGGTCCATACTCGATACTTGTATGCCCTTACCTAAAGGTTTGAAATATAACATTGTCGTTTATGTAATGCACCACTCGACAGTAGTCAAGCGCACAGAGATTGAGCCGCGGCGCACATTTTATTGGCCGTATTATGAACGGCTTATAATGATGTTTAGAATTTGGTGACACTCACAATTCAACATGATTCAGTTAGAATACTTCATTGATAAAAGGCAAGGCCTAGTTTCAGTGACCTTATCCTAAAAGGAAGGATATTAATGTGTAATTCTATTATATAGGGTTCACTCACTCTCTGCAAGGTGTGCTTAAACGATGATACGTGGTTTGTAAAATTCTATACTTTCACTCTAATCTGTTTCAATATTTCAATGTTATAGTCCCCTTTGACATAATCCACATATCTAAAATCTAATCATCCACAGTGAGCAAATGCCAGATATTACGGAAATGCCTCAACCATAATAAAATACCAGTATATATTAGGAGGGTCAATTTATGACGGCGGGGATATATTACCCACTCAGCAAAAACAGTATGTACATATTAATAAATTCCACGATAGCACCTACATAAATTGTTTGCTAAGTATTTCTAAGAAGTTGATGGATGGCAAAGTAGACACAATGTACTGATGACAACTTCTTTTATGTAATACTATAGCGACGTCGTTGTTAAGAAAAACTGGAATCACTTTTGCTTAACGTTTTTAGTGTCTATACTTTCATACATTATATCATGGGAAGGTATTTGATTCCCGAAGTTATACAGTTAAAGAGACGATATAGAATATGTATTATAGATGCTTAGATTAACCAACCATGCAAGACCATTACACATATATAGCGTATAATGAATGTTTTATTATTAACATGTTTTTGAATGTTATCATATGTTTCTGTTGTCACAATCGCCTGTAGAATAGTTCACTAGTTCACTGTTTTGATAGGATTCATGTACAGTGTGTTTGTTGGTGCAGCTCTACCCTCTACTTTGAAAACTGCCGACTTTCCTCAATTCCTTATCTGTATTCATTATAATAATAGGTAAACGGGTAATTTTGAAATATGTCTTTATTCACGAATGTTTGTGTACCATTTAACGCATGTGGTGTACAATAAGGGTGTAAAGGGATAATATAAATATAGATAGCCGATAGAATGAGTTGGTTCAAATTGTTCTGTGTGCTTCTAAAAGGCTGTTTAAGGATACATTGAACCTGTAAAGAGATGTGGTTTAGGTAGTCCTAACTAATGTTCATGTTTACAAATGTTCTTACAATTATTTACGTCGCTCGAAACCCAGCTGACGTCAAATGCTCATGGCTTCGTCAGGAAAGATAGCAACACTGCAAAACTACTTTATGACATTGTGCTCAACGTTACGTGGGGGAAAATCTAATTTCAATTAAGCCTTGCAGAGCTAGGTTACCTGTAGATTAACCGCGCGATTTGGAACCGAACGCGCAGCAGTTTATCTTCCTTCTACCATGACTAAATAAAACACGAACTCTTTGGTGTTAGCAAATATATTGAGTGAAGCGGCATGGGTTAAGTCCAGGGTTTGAGTGGGTTGTCGATCTGAATTACGGAGACACCAACAGCCTTTAAACAAAATAAGGCATTCTATATGCTCAAGTAATTTGTTTACACCGTAATATTTCTCTCGAAAACATGACAGGCATTGAAAGCATACAAGAATGGTGAGATTAAATGAGGTGGGCATCCCTAAAGAAACACTTTCGTTCTACAACCCGCGTCACCATTATGACGTCATATCGCTCATTGTTCATAGAAATGACGTCACATTCGTATATAGAAAAGCACCTAATTTCAAGCTCTCTGTTGTCTCCAAAACGTAAATGAAATTCTCTGGTAGATTTATATCATGTTTTCTGCACGAAATACATTGCCACACATCCTTTGAACATTGCTGTTGTAGATATAACTATTCAAATATGCCTACTGACAATGACTGAAAAAAGTATTATTCTATGAATTTTAGCTTCCGCTGTGATGCGGCGGTCAAACCAACTGTTTCAATCAGATGGGGTTTATTGCTTCTGACTGACCAAACAGAATCTATAAATTTCCAAATTCATGATAGAATCATGATTTGTATGTCCGAAATTCCGTTAATGTGACTTATGATAGTAATATTTCAAGTGTATTTGTCTGTTTTGTGTGGCAAAGAAATATGTTCGCTGTGTCATGACGTTATTTCCTTTATGCCCAACTAGTATATGGAACCCGTCACCATCTTTTCAAAAGTAACGAGTAGAGTCATACAACAACATACAGGTTAGAGTGAGTGAGTGAGTGAGTGAGTATGGTTTTGCGCCGCTTTTAGCAATATTCCAGCAATATCACGGCGGGGGGACACCAGAAATGGGCTTCACACATTGTACCCATGTCGGGAATCGAACCCGGGTCTTCGGCGTGACGAGCGAACGCTTTAACCACTAGGCTACCCGACCGCCCCTACAGGTTAGAGGCTTAGCATAGCGCCTTAGAGCAAAAAGGTGTATTTACCATATACACGTGTCAATGACGTGTTAGGTGGCCTTATTGTCCTCATGTAACTCTTCTAACAAGGAGGTAGAAAATAATGTGTCATCACACAAAGCGGAAGCAGCTTAATGTGAATATGGTTGGTCTAAATTGATAAATACATGGTACATGAGATTACGGTTTCATGAACACAATCGCACATTTCATGATTCAGTCACTCAAAACGATCTATGCACAACACCGTGTAATATGACCATAAGGAATCAATAGAATCTGGCGTTTTGACATAAACACAATGGTGAAAATCTGCACCTGGTATTTGATATGGGAATCCTGTATCGTAAATGTGCCTTTAGTAAGCAATATATAGGTGTTTCCGTTTTTTTATCTTTGCTACATGTATATGTCCCTTCCAGTTGAGTTTGGCGGTCAAAAAGATGTTATAAGAAGTGAAGGTAAGATTAACATTATAAACTCAAACCAATTGGTACTGTAGTATATGAACATATATTTTGATAACGTATTTTGTCCCCATAATACAATTATGAATAAACATTGTCATTTGCTGCTGATAAATAAACTCAACAAATCATCAACATTGACACTATGGGTAAAATGCTATATTCAACCTGTATGTTACAAATAAGGGTTAAACCTTTTTTTGCACTGATAGGTATTTCTGATCATTTAACACATTTAGGCGCCGGGATAAGAAGTTATGGATGAACAACTTCCTTATTACAATTAAGAGCAAAGTTTCGGTTATTGTAATAAAGAAGTTGTTCATCAATAATTATTATCCTTACTTAGTACTCCAACTTCTAAATGCTTATCAAAGAAGACATTTAGGCGTCATTGGGTAAGTTAAGTTTAAATCGTTTATCGATATGCCAGCCAAACAAATGCAGTGGGGTTTATATATTGCATCCATGTGGAAATATAACAGGGGTGTAGGCGTGGTGAGCCATTACATTATCACAAGACTAAATATGTGTCCGAATGCGTCTTGTATTGATGGGGATAGGTATTGCGTCTGAGTCTATCGTAACTCCATCTCCATTAAAAGTGAAGGTTTCTGACGACCGTGGACCCTGACAAAATGGATGGCATCGTCCGTGAGGCGCTACATGACGTTTGTACGCACGACGTTAAAGTTCACCAACAGATGTTAAATAATGTTTGTGGTCAGGACTATAATGTAGTTGCCCGTTGTAATGACACAACATCGTATAACTGAAATAATGTTTAAAGCGGTAAAAACAGAAAACGTACCGAGGATGTCAAATTAATATAATATGGAGATGGATTTACAAGATGCAAGATGCGGATGCTTACAAGACAAGAATGTTTCTATTATCATCAGAAATAGAACAATATGTTTTAAACATTCTCAAAATCGTTAAAACCGTGGTCGCTAGCGCTGTGACACAAATGAATCATTTAGCCGTCGGGTAATTCAAATAGTTATACATTTATGAGCCAGCATATATAGTATAGTATAATAGTTTGATAAATAGCTTTCAAAATAACCTCTTCGCACTTAACTATGGATGTGACATAGTTGTTTTGCTATTCAGTTGTTCAGCTGTTCTTTAACAAACAAAGCAACTTCGCTACAAATAAGTATAATTTTTATGTATTTGTTCTTTCATTTGTTAGGGGCTACTCCGTGAACATGGATGGATATCTGTATATTCTACTGTTGATGATAATACCTTCAAGTTCAGGTATGTTTTCATTCTTCAGTCCTACACGCACCATGAAATGGATTACTATTTGTCATTGTTATCTGACATATCAACAGAGAATACATTACAAAAGGCTCGTATAGATACACAAATGTATGCAAAATGACATTTTTTTTAATTATGTCGGCCATCAAAAAAATAATCAAACATCGCCAGAAATGGGTCTTCTTCGAACGAAAAAGTCACGATCGTACAATGGACTCTGCTTGTAGCATATATATCTTATGATTGTGTAAGGTGTTTCATAAGACGGGTAGGTTTCTTGGCAGGATAACGCAAACGAATAACAACGGTATCCGCTGAGGTCACACGCGGATAAAGATCGAAATATGAAAGGTCATGACCATGTATATATATGTACTACTTTCAGTGTGCTACAAATATGGCGTCGCCCTTCGAAGATTGAGTCAGAATTAACAATCGGGAAACTGGAGAAACCGCTGGATAATTATCAAAACATTTGTCTAAGATACTGAAAATCAGTATCTAACTGGGACGTAACCTGGGCATTTCACAAGTTTGGGTAACTTTGGAGAAATAATTTGCGAAACAATATAGCGAAGACACCAGCCTAGCTGGATCACTTTCTATATCTGTCTGTGCTTGTAGACCTATGCGGCTTGTTTTTTTTTCCCCTATTTAAAACAGTCTTTGTTTCCAAATTGTTTCCTTGTTTCATTTTGTCGCCCCGCGTATATCCGACGCTGCACTTTGTAGCGTTATGATAGGACAGGCAGGCTCTAATCAAACGTGACGTCTAAAAGACAAGGGTCATAGTAGCTTCCCTTTAAGTAAGGGCAGATACTTTAGCGGGCGGACCGATGGATTACCGCTGAATGCAAGTTCAAACAATATGAGTGAGCAATTGTTGTTTTGCCTATACGCAGTTACGCCACTGTGTAAGAAACAGGTTTCTGTTGGAACTTTATTGACTGTTGTCACTGTCCGACTGACAATTTACTGCCCTTCTGACGTAATGTATATTAACGTGCTCATTCCAGGAAAACTTGTTAAGGTATTGCTTGTGAGAGATGAGAACAGGGTTTTCGACGACAGAACTTAAGAATGACATTATATAGCAAAACGGTTATCCCGCCTGAGTGTTTTTGGTCGTTAAATATCGTGCAATAGGAATAGACACTGTGTGTTTAGCTCACCAAGGCTCGCTAAATTCAATGTTTATTCCTCAGACAGGATATTTATGTTATTATATTTAAGATATGTTTTGTTTGAGGAATTTCACTGTCTGGCTCATCATCGTACGCCGTGTTGGGTCAGAGCTTCCGGTTTAACTGCACTGTACCAGGGCCATCTACAGGACAACTCCTACTCTTCAAGAGAGATAATACAGACGTTTGTACAGTCTCACTCAACCCGTGTCAACAGTTCTCATCCCCTCCAGGTTACACCTGTTCTTGTGGACAGAGCGGCGTGTACAACATGGACATAACCAGCGTCAGTAAGAGAGATGAAGGGAGATGGGAATGTGAACTTTCACAATCCAGCAACATCATCACACTGCCTGTTTACTGTAAGTACGAATATTTATGTTTTATGAACCGGCAAGGATCTGCGTCTGTGTGAATTATAATATTATGACGTGATTGTTGTTTTTTTGGTACGTGTTAATCACACTGCCTGTTTACTGTAAGTCTGCATTATTAACGTTAATGCATCTGACACTATTCATGTAAGTTCCATTTCCGCCTGTTGTATTCAGCAACATGCTATTATTAATGTAGTCAAGTATGTTAACATCATATGAACAAATTTAATGTTGTATTTGATCATGTCAGCACTGAACATTTCAGTAATTGATTGGGTATTAACATAACGCCAGCTGTCTTCTATGTCCATATTGCCTGTTATAGCGGTTGTATATGTCCAACATGTGTCATTACGCCAGTACCACTTTTAATTGACTCTTTCCAGTCTTTGACAAACTGTTCAAAGATTGATCATTTGACTTCCGATACAGCATAGTGTATGTTACAACCCATAGGATTCAATTTGTCTTAATCATTGATAATGACAACCTTCACATCAACAATATGTAGAATCAGTGAGTGTTAAAGAAAAATACTGCGGCGTAAAAATATAAAACACAAACAAACAAACATACCTTTATTAAATTATACTAGTATTGTCAGAACCGAATAGTTTCAAAACTGAGATTGTATATTCGACTGATGTAAACTTTTATTACTTGAACTGTGAAATTGATACAAATATCTTTAGCACAAATACGCGAATGCGTCCAGGTTATCTAGGAATATATTTTAATTGTTCATAAAAAAGTAAGCACTTTAAAACATATTTACTTACATTCAACTAGCAACATGTCTGTCGTAACATTTTCGCTTGAAATGGTCTATTGCTGTGTAACAGTATAGTGGATATTGTTCATAAGGTGCACAAACACACGCTTCGGGGTCCATGTCTTATGTGCGATGCCATTTGTATTAGGAGATCAAAGATCTAAGATCAAAAGACACCCTGAAATACATAATTACAAAATTCATAATAGATACAACATTACCATATATATATTACATATCAATCACCCATTAAAACACTTGATGGACTGTGCGCTCAACGTTTATACTGGAGCATATACAGTAATAAACATGCCACACAATACTATCATCAAAGGCAGATAAGTCATGTACTTTTATATGGGTTGTATACTATATGAACAAAATATGTGCATGACGCTTACACAGTCTGTGTTAACATTTACATTAATTTAAGAAATAGTTAATGATATCTAATATTATTATTAAATGTGATAATAACATTTAGATTACACCTTAAGTCACAGGTAAATATAAACAATGCAATGCATGCCCTGTAGGTGACCCAAGGGTGGTGACTTCCCACTGCCAACACCATACTGACCGATCTGAATAAATAATACATAGACTAAAACACTATTTAACACTTCACATATTGAACACAGTAATATGCACATTTTATTCACAAAGGTTCGCATGTATCACATCTGAATCTGTACCGTACAACGCTAGAAGTTTAAACTTATTGAAGTGAAACAACACTTACACACATATCTCATTGAAGTGACAGACACTATTTTAGTGATAAAGTATGGTTGTTCAGCTTATCTTATGCAGATTTAAATAATTAGATATAACCAGTTTTTATATTGGATTACATACATTTAGTTTAGTAAACATAACACTTTTTAACAAAAGGTGTTAAATTGGCCAATCATCATATTCAGCTTCATCATACAAACATTTGGCCATGGGCATCATATTTTCTGTGACTGTGACAGAGAATATTACTGTGCCTGTTTCTGCAAGATGTTCTGTCATGTTTCAGATGGACCATCCAACAACGTGACTGTTGACACGACCTCCCCCCTGACTGTGACAGAGGATGTGACTGTGTCTCTCACTGCCAGATGCTCTGCTGATTGCAACCCTGCCTGCGGCTACACCTGGATTAAGGGGTCACAACAGCTGTCTGAAAGCAGATATCTTCCTGTCGGAAGCTTCAGAAGGGGTCAGGGGGGCGAGTACAGATGCACAGCCAGGAACACAGCAACTGGGGCTACAGCTGACAGTCAGATTCTCACCGTGATTGTACAATGTAAGTTTTAGACGTTTACTTTGTACAGAGAGAGGTCAGAATTGATACTGCATATGTACAGCAAGGAACATATTCTGGAGGTGACAGTACTGGACGTGTATTATGTACGGTACCGAGAGAGGTGATAAGGGAGACTACAGATGTTCAGTCAGGAACAGAGATACTGGAGATACAGATGATTGTCAGACACTCACAGTGAATGTACAGTTTTATGTTTTAGGTATGTATCATGTGCAGTACAGAGACAGGACAGGAGGGAGACTACAGATGTACAGCTAGAAATAATCTGTTATTGTGTTAAGACCCTCGTAGTGTTAGACGTTAGGCCGGGGTGGCCCTGTATGGTCATTGATGTTGCTGTTTACTTTAATAGGGCCTCCAGCAATGCCGACACACAACTGTCCATCTTGGATAGCCCTTGGTCAGACAGGCAGCTGTACATGTCAGACTTCAGACAGAGGTAGCCCTGCAGGAACAGTCCAGTGGATCAGTCCGGGTGGTCAAATGATCTCCTCTTCAGTGTCTTCATCTGTACAGCTAAACTTGACTTCAATTCCGAGATCTGACAATGGGATGAACTACATCTGTAGAGCACGCAACTCTCTGCCCAACACGAAAAGAGAAGCAACTTACGTTGTCAGAATTGCATGTACGTACTATTGTAGAACTACTCTGTATGTTTTACTATATATTATGTCAGTTTTACTATTTTGCTCAATATCCTTATTTCATATTAGATTTAATCAGTAACCATTTTAGTGTCTTCATCAGTGGCGCTTCATCTAGACTCTATCGCAAAATATGAAAACAAGAGGACCTACATCTGGGGACATGCTAACATCTCGAGGTGATTCAATGTACAGTGTTAACTTGCATATATAGAGCTTACAAACGGAATTAAGAAAAGGTTAGATAAAGGTGAAATGGGATTTACGATTATTACACTCATCGATCATATAGCAATGTGCATATACGCGCGTTTGTTGCTGCCTGTACTATTCCCGTCAGTCACACAAAGCTGTTGGCATACCAAACTGCAGATGAACATGGATTCCCCATGTAGACACATCATGCTGACTGTGAGCCGACTGTTCCTGTTTTGTCCCCTTATTTTCGAGCTCGGGGAAGATGGTTTATCCACGAGATGACAAAGCCGAAGGGAAGAATGCTCATTAGTATATTGCTAATCGACGAATTACAAACTCGTGAAATGAAAAATATATGTGTATGATCTGAATTTAAATATCAGTGATGTTAAATAGCTGACATTGGAGTTTAAAACACAATGTACTATTGAATAAGTTTGCTGTTTTTGCTCATCATTAAGAATAACATTGACTGATAAAAATACAATGAATAAAACAAAACGTATGCAAACCTTGACTTTATAAATTGTTTTAGAACAGGATCACTCTTTTCATGGGGTAGTTTAATGTTTAATGTTTAATATTGCACATCGTTCTTCATGTTTGTATTACAGATTTGGACAGACTGCAATTGAAGTTTGACAAGGTAGAAACCCAGGGGAATACCTCAGTTACCGTGACCTGCACTGTTGAAAGCAATCCCATTGCTAAGATGACAGTAGAGAACATTGACAGTGAGGCACAACCAGCTTTTGGAGTTTCAAATACCCTCACCTTCACAACAAAGACGCCTTGCCTACGAAACATGTTTCGTTGCACAGCTGAGAACTATCAAACAGGCATGCAGCTCTCCACTGTGGGACGGTTAAATATTGCGTGTAAGCAGCATTTCGAGTGTCTTAGAGCTGTGAATGCATTATGCTTTCTTTGGCATATGATCCGGTCTTAAAAGTTTGTAATTGCCGCACTCAGCAATATTCCTGCTGCATTACAGTGACCGGAAGAGTAGTGACGCATGGCGATATTCAAACATCTAAGTCACAGCTACAGTTTGTTACTGTTTCTTGTTAACGACGATACAAGTATTGTATATACTTTGATAAAGGTATAGTTCTCATCTCAAATTATACAGCGTCTAATTGGATAAAAATCGAAAACAATTGGAAAAGTTTCTTCCTTACTGAGGTGTTATATTTGAGTCTGTTCAACATGCATGATTCTGTTTGTTCCTTTTTAAGTAATGATTTTTAGAAAGGGGTGCGTACATAACTCACATTGATGGATGAACCAACAATGACTATATTGAACTGTGTGCATAATTATATGCATCCCAACTGAACTGTCAGGTTAATGTACCTCAGAGCATACAGAGATAGCCGTAAATTGATACCCTACCGGACGCTGGAGTGGATGAACTGCAAGTTTATGTTTTAAAATATTTCGTTGCAGCTTCCATACATGATACGTGAAAGTGTGATTCAGCATTTTATATATAGAATAATACATACGGTACTATCTGGCTTTCAAATGAATTGTCAAGGTTACGTGTCTGAACAATAAGATATATGTAATCCGACCAGTTGATTATCATCTTATCTCTTAGCATAATTTTATTCAGGTTCCCCACGTCCTGACTCTAGAAAGCAATCAACCAACATGGTAATGGGAAAACTCAAGACTACTGCTTTACTGACAGCAGATGTCATAGCCAACCCAGTACCTAACTTCACCTGGTATCATTATCAAGGGATGACCCCGGGACCGGTTGTTGTTGGAACAGACAATGTTGTCCTCACTAACGGTCTTCAGTCTGTTTTGAAAGTGCACATCAAACGTGACGAGGATTACGGAATTTATCGTGTTGTCGTTCAGAACAGTGTGGGGACCACTTCTCTTTTCTTCAGTTTAACAAAAGATGGTGAGCTCGATGTTGAGATGTTCACAACTTACCCAATAATGTTACGTCTAAAATTTAAACATTATCATTTACAAACATAGCGGGGGAAAGCAATCTCTAAATGGTCAAGTTTATCGTTTCTTCTAAATTTTCTCACCTCAAGCTCTTAATTGACTGGCAGGCGAATAAATGTTTCTTAAAAACCGATGAATTAAAAAAAAACAGGGTGCCAAAAATACTTTTTTAAATATTATATCTTGGGAACCTAGGTTTGGTGCTGTGAAAATATTGTGAAGCTTATATATGCAACGAATACATGAATGGATCTTTCAGAATCGGAAATTTAATTTTTTGACCAGTCACGTTTTCCCACCAAATGTATTTCAGTTCATGTCACTCAAAATCCAAAGGCATAGCAATGTGTGGAATCTTGGGGCATTGGGTACATGCTCCAAAATATTAATGTTTTTTACTCACAGTTCACAACTAAGAAGTGTACTTTATGTGTGATGCATTTTGTGTTTTATACAACTGTCAAATGAATGTACTGGGATTTCATCCTCTCGAGTGAATGTAGAACTTGTTCCAAAATCCCAAATTGTGTACACTGGTCGTTTCAGTGCTGACACCGGAGGCCCCATCATGGAACATCCTCCCTGTAGCTGCCGGTGAGGGAGTTGTCATTGTGATCCTGATTGTGGCAATCGTCGTCATAGTATACAGACGAAGTCTCTTTAAAGGTGCACATATCGGTATAAATGCATGTATTGTGTTTTACCAGGCCCCCAGTGTTTTAGTTTCATGGATACATACTTACAAGGTTTCTCTGACATAAATAGTTCGGCATGTATGGCAAGCATATGTAAGATTGCAACCGATGTTCATTTGTTTGAATACGAGTTTCAGGCAATCACGTTTATGGGGGGAAGAGGGAGGGGGTGGTGGGTGTGTGGTTGTTCAGAATGTAACATTCCTTTGAAACAGACACACTATAGGATGACATAACGAGAATTATTTGTGTTCTGTGAAGGCTCGCTCTCATGTTTTCCACACGGAATTGAGATCACATTAATCGGAGAAATTAAACTAATTCTCTAGTTGACAGGGGTAAAAATAAAAATGAGAATCATAGAGTATCTACAGAGTATGAGGGATTTTCAACACTAACTTGGCAGGAGTACTTCGTCACAGCTTGGACAATGCGTCATTTAAACCATATACATATTGTTTCAGTTGGTTTAAAGAAAGGTGGTGTTGATTCCAGCGGTGAAACAATAACGGGTCAACAACAAGATGACGTAAGTAAAGGCTCTTGTGTTGCTTGGATCTTATACAAATACATGCATATACAAATACATCGATTTTAATCTTTTATTAATTATTTACTTATATATATAACCCCCGCTAAAAGAATCGTGAACCATACAGAGAAGTATGTACGTTAAGAAGAGATGTTTCCAAAGTGTGCTATTTAATGACAAAGCTAACAATCGACCAAGTGTTACCATAGGTGTTTTTATTTTTATAATTATATGCTGCATGTGATTTCCAAACTTAACACACTAATCCTGCACGAGACAAATGGTGTATCTCGAGTCATGGATCTATGGCATCACATGTGATGCGCTTATGAGCGTCGGTTCAGACCATTTAACATTTTGTTCGTTTGTGCATGGAATCAATAAAATATCTCTTGAAAATGAGTATTTCTTCATATATTAACCAATATGAATATATTAGACTTTCGTTTGACGGGGAGTACATATACTAAGAAGGTAGGGTATGAAGGTATTGTGAATATAGAAAATGTCCCGGATCATTCTGTTGAAAATGTCCAAAAATTACCAAAATATGTTTTACAGAGTTGTCAACGTGGACGGGAAGTGGATGGCACCTTGCCTGCTGAGACAAATACGTATTCAAGTTCGTAATAATCACAGTTATCAAGGCCCTACAGAACATGATTTGTCTTTGCAAGAAACCAGTTAGAAAAATAACAAACATACTTATGCCGTGAAACGACACCTTTGTCTACAGAGTAAAACGTTATTGATATCTATTCAAGGCAAGCATATTCACATTGGCGCCAAATAGTAAAACCCAGATCATGAATAACACGATGAGTTACGACGGTACATGTTATTCGATGATACCTTTATTTAATATTTCCTCACAATCTTTGCTCTATATGTTTATTAAGGTGTTGAGACGGAGGCTGACAAACAGACATATACAGAACTAAGGGAATTTGAAACAGTCGGAGATTCACCCACTCAGGGTAAGCTGAAGGCAGACATACATACTTGTCTCCATTGTAAGTTTACTATATCTTTTGAATGTTGGATTTTGACAAAACTGCCCTTAGGATACGAGTACGAATGCACCCATTGCTTTAATTTAATGTGCACAATGTTTCTGAGAAGTGTCCAACGGATATTTATGTAAAAGATATCCTAAGAGCGTTATCATGTCGAGTATGGTTTAGGTATTAGGGGAGCGAGTGAGGGTCATATTGATATGCATCATGCGTTCGTTTGACGACTATCAACGCTATAAAGAGCATAGCTACTTTACTGATGGTATTACGCATGGAAGTTGACCAGTGGTGACTGTGCCATTCGTACAGGTCCTTTTGCGTCGGCTGCACGTGCTAACACGTGTGAACGTGCTAACATATAGCCTTATATCCCGTACCATTCCACCCCAGAGGAAAAGTAGTCTTTTCCAAATGTCCCGCAGACACAGTAGCAGTACTTGCTGTAAGGATTTCGGGAACCACAGAGATGCATTGCCTCGTGTTGTCTTTTTTGTTATGAGAGGATCACTGATGAACATTATATTGTTATCTAAAATGATATCATTGAAATAACGAACGTTATCGTTGTAGGTTATTCTTCTTATGAGAGTCTTCACGAGAGAACACCACAAGTATATGAAGACATTAAAAGATCGACTCTTGTTAATGGAAAAGAAACAAACTGAGGTAAATATCTTTCCACATGATGCTATTGAAGTGTAAATTAGAGTAAATAGGATTTTTAAGCTCGGTCTATATGTGTGAATATTACACTGATTATCCTTTTTTACCTGTGTCATAAATACCAGTCATGTAGTATCTTCTTTCAGGTAATCAAGGAAGATATGAAAACGCAAGGCGAGAGTCGACTGACTGCAAAAGGACATTGACGTCCAAGTGAACTTCAAATGTCTGTTTAAAATGCCATGGCTTTGAATTGCTCTTCCGCTTATTCAATGACGACTTCTAACTGTATATGCCTTCATATGTATCGTGAATTGTCTTGTACTGGCTTCAACCTAAAACAATTACACTGCTATACTGTCCCGATGAGGATTACTTAAACAGAGACAGAAGGAAGGACAGAAGAACGGAGGGAAATAAGTAATTACTTAGGCATGTTTATGTTTGAACATTGCTCCAGAAGGCATGAGGGATGACTTCAACTGTCAACTATCCCCTTTTGTCAAGCAATATTCAAGTAGCTTCCGCTTTTGATATCTACATTTCACAATCTGCAAAAGTTGATTGATCGTTACAGGCCTCAGCGAAAGCTTTCCGATGCATTGGTGCTTGTCTTGCCTTTGAAGCGTTTGTGACGGGTACCACCCAGTGGGGTAGAATACGCTAACTAAATGCAAACACCTGTTATCAACACTTTTTTATATTGATTTATTTACACCTGCTTATGATGTGTTTAGGATTCTTACAATGAACTCTCACTTCAGCAAAATGTCTTTTTCATTGGTTTTGTGTCGTATTTACAAATGACAGAAGAGAAATAATATTAGAAAGACCTTTTGAGTGTCAAATGAACTGGTTTTGGAATAACCCAGTGTTTTTTTCGTTTCGAAAGGAATTTGACCACAAACGACATTTCCATCAGTTGTTGAAAGAGTGACACAATTGTTTGTTTCCTTGCCAAACCCTTTTTGTATATACGTTGTGTAGATATTCCAATAGTAAGGTGTTGTGTGTGGCAACGTTCAGTAAACCAATCTACAATAATGCACATAATGTTTACATAGATAACTAAAAAATATATTAAGTTAGTGATTTATATACCGCTTTAAATTAATGTATTGATAAAACAATATAACAAATTACAGATTTATTGATCGAATAAGTTCGTATCAATTCACGTGGAAAAGTATTATATATTCAATTAAAAAATGTTGGTGATTAATTATGTTCAATTCATAAAACACACACACACGTACACAAACACGTACACACACACACACACACAAAAAAAAAAACCCAACACAAAACAACATAGTGAAGCTTTATCAAAAGATCATTGCAAGCTTTAAGTATTTTGTCACACGCCATATTTGCTTGTTTTCTTGTATCAGTGTATGCTTTTGAGAGTCATGCCCTATAGATATCTTTTTTACAAAATAGCAAGTTGTGTCATTAATGTGTGTATGTATTTATACATGTACATACGTTCATAATGGTTGATCATTTCATAGATTTTCGTGAATAAATAATTTGTCTCACATCATGCTCTACTTAGTGTTATGTTTTGGCCACCTGTTAATGAAATGTGTACATACATGATATTGTGAAACTACATCCGTACTAAACTGAAAACTGAAATGAAATTAATGTTGAATTTTATAACGTCCATGGTTGTACTTATTTTACGTTTCATATTTAGTTGAATTTAGGATTTACCAGGGAGACCAAAGGTACGAATAGTTATACAGTGTGTATCAGGAAATTCTGATAGTAGCAATGGGTCAATGTCAATGTAACATAAATATACTACTTGACAAAGTGGATTGCACGCTGTTCGAGTTGAAATCGCGATCATGAAATGCACAGAAAATACATTGCATACATTGAGCGCATTGTGCGCATTTAGAGCATTGTACGCATATCATATAAATGGGAATAAACAACAATTTTAATGTTATGTAATGATCGTCAATCAGTATTTCTAACTTGTGATTCATTTTGACTGACTGAACTTTTTTGCGACCCTTTTGACTCTATTTTGACCATGGCCGTTTACTAGTTCCTGTATTAGAAACAACCCCTTTCTGGAAAAGGGACATCCACAGATCGACGTTATTCATAGATTTGGGAACGTGAAATAAACTCACCAAAAAGCAAAACAGTGGTTTAAGGTACTTACCGGCCCTAATTGACTTTGGTACGAGATTTACACGCCGTAGTTTTACATGGACACCCCATGTAGAAACGTATACCGACTCTGATTCGATCAGTCCGACCTTTTTACCCTCAATCCCGTACGACAGGCAGGATAACAACAAGTACACATGCTTAGTGGTGCGTAAAATTACAAAATCAAATGTTTTTACAGAATTGTTATTCGCTTTTTTGTGGGATTGCAAACATTGACGCAAATCCTTTCAGGTTTTGAGATTCCACATGGTATCAATTCTTCGTGTAATAGTTTTGTGAATATAAAGAAAGGTCTCGATTGTATTAAGGGTTATGGTTAATATTGAGACAGGGCGCATTATGGAACTTTGGGATCAAGTACAACAGAAGAATGGATTAGTATTTAGGCTTTAGAGTCAAGTAAAGTCAAACGTTGATGGTGGTGGACACACTGGCCTTATACTGACATTATTTGATACAGATGAATGGAAGAGTAGTCCTTTAAGTTTATCCTTACGGAAAAGTGTGTGCGTTGAAATTGTACGTCTCACCGGCAATATCTCAGTCATATGCAAACTTCATGTTTCAACGTGTAAAACTGTTATATAATTGTCTTCCGTTTAAATACAAAATCTTATTTACTTACCTGTAAACGTATAACACGGTAGATTTTTCAAATATATATCGTTTGTCGAAATGAATATTCGTAAATATGAACACAGATGCTGCCCGAAACACCGTATACATATAATGTGTTCACAACTTATACTGACATGACTTTTGTTGAACATAGACTGTATTAATTTGAAAGAATGAAAGCAAATATGTTTATTTTGTAAATTTGACGGGTATCATAGCAGTAATCCATAGTATTAGTGGGAAAAGTATCAGTTATCTTTTGACGAAAATTGTTATTAATTCGATGCACAATTCTTCATAGACAAAACGATTATTTCATCTTCGCTGTTGTCTTTGAATGTGTGCGATATATATATATATGACCCTACATTGTTCGGAGTATAACTAATGACCGGCAAACACTGTTCATGTTTAATTTTATTTGATTGGCTATCAAATACGTTCAATGTTTCACTGGAACTACTTCTTTGATGCCCACCTAGTTAATGAAGCACGCCCCTATCTTTCAGTACTTTCAGTAGCATCAAGTTTTACGTAATCATCATTGAAACAGTAACATCACCACATACAGTTTACATAAATTGTGTGCACGTACATTTACTATGTGAACAATTAAGTCAAGTAAGTGTGCAACATTGCTGCCCCCACAGAAGGCCAGTGCCAGATGGGATCATAAGCAACTTTTGCTGTTCATCAGAGGGTTCATTGGTTCATTATTTTCTGATAGGAGTGAGTGAGTGAGTGCTTCAGCAATATTGCAGTTATTTTCGGCGGGTTCCTGCAGAGAGTAAACAGAGCAGTATAGTTGCTATATTTGTAAAAGCAGGTGTCAGAGTTTATACTTGAATGTCGCGCTGGCTGAAGGCTGGAGCGAACAAAATTACGCTGCAAAAAGGAGCCCCTGAAAAATTAAATAACTTACGCTTTATGAGTACTGTTGACCCAAATACGCCTTGTCACTCGTGACGATGGTGCGGTGTTACTGCGCTCATGTGACTCTTCCAACAAGGAAGTAGAAAATATTGTGTATTCATACGTTGAAAGGGACAGAATAGAACCAGTTTAGCTTCAATGGGATTGGTCTAAAAAGATAAATACACATTTCATGTGTTTACTTTTTCATGAATACAAATTTAATCTATCAGTATTTCTCGTCGTTCGTCGGAAAGCATTGCGGCAACAATATATATCCGTGTAATATCTATGTCCCATCCAGTGGAGTGTGGCGGATATGAAGGTGTGAGCAAGTAGTAAAGGTAAGACTAGACACAATGTACTCAACCCCAGTTGTTTTATAGTAGCATATATTTCAATAACATTTATTGTCCTAATAATCCAACTATCAATAAATACTGTTATTTGAGTGGACATATGACACAGGTAAAACGCGCGATAAGCAGAAAAAATATTCACAAGGCTAAATATGTATTGGTACTGAATAGAAAGTGACCATACCTGAGTGTCATTAACGAATTAAATGTCGGTTTTTGTAGCTTATAAAGTTCAAGAACTAGAATAATGTGTTAAAGGTCGTATGAAATATGGGCGTTAATTGAATTCTGGCAGTTATGTCATTGGCAGATTTTAGCAAATATACTAGTATATATGCATTACTTAGAAGTTGACGGATGACAAAGTTCTTTAACTTCACAACAAATAAGTACATTTATGTATTCTTTCAGCATGGATGGATATCAGTATTTGCTGCTCCTGATAATACCAACGAGTTCTGCAGGTACATGTCCATTTTACAATCTTACATTCACACAGAAATATATAAATACATTTATGTCAATGTTATCTGAAGTATAAATAGATAATATATAACACATACAAAGATTTAATGGACTAAAACTCATTTCTGCGAAATTAACGTGCCATTTTTTAAACTGTGTGGGCAATCCAGAAATAATTGAATAATTTGAACTATATAGGTCCATATATACTGAACCAAATTAAAAACTTCACAATCCTAAAATTGTAACATTATGACCAGTTATCATTGTGGGCCCTTATTGTGTATTTAAACAGTAATGGCCACGTATTGTCTTTAGATAACATCCGTTTTTGTGCAGGTGAATCGATCAAAATCACGTGCACAGCACTATAGTGGCAAAAGTTGTTTTTCACGTGCAACTGGTCACGTGGCCTTAATACCGCACGTCCTTTCAGCCATACTTGTTAGCAGTCATTAACAAAAAAAGAAAAACACAAGAAAACAAAAGTCTTTACGGCAATTTGTCATGCCACGCGTCTTAAATGTGCAACGTGAACGTGCCATCAGCATGTTGCAGACGGGAACGTCCGTAGCTGAAGTCGCAAGGACGATGGATTTTAGTCGACGGACTGTTTATGATTTACAGACGCGTCTACAGCAAACGGGTACCACTGCTGATTGACCTCGGCCAGGTCGACCACGTGTGACGTCACATGCAGAGGATCGTCAGATTGTCTTACGTCACCTCCGTAACCGATTTTTGACGGCTACATCAACCAGAAATGAACTGTTTAGGGGTAGACTGAGTGCGGAAACTGTTCGAAACCGTCTGAGAACTGCTCACCTTCAAGCACGACGGCCATACTGCAGGCCGATTCTGACTCAATTACACAGACTTCAACGTCAATTGTGGGCACATCGACACTTACGATAGACTCAGAGGAATTGGAATCGAGTCGTCTTCAGTGATGAATCACGATTTAATCTTCGATTTGCTGATGGTAGGGCGAGGGTGTGGAGGCGCCGTCATGAACGTTACGCCCAGTGTTGTGTACAGGAAGTTGACAGATTTCGAGGCGGAAGTGTCATGGTGTGGGGTGCTTTCTGTGGCAATGCACGTTCCAGGCTTCCTGTCATCCGTGGCAACCTCAACGCTGCTGCTTACCGGAACCAGGTACTGGCACCAGGAATTTCCTTCAGAAAGCGGGAGTCAACGTCATGGATTGGCCGTCAAGGTCTCCCGACCTCAGTCCCATCGAACACGTCTGGGATGCTCTTGGCAGAAGTCTGCGCACTCTCCAGAACCAACCACAGAATTTGCAAGATCTTTGAACCATTTTGCAGCAACAATGGCGTCGTCTTGACAATCATGTGTTCACAAGCATCACAAGGTCCATGCGGAGGCGTTGTGTGGCAGTTGTCAACGCACATGGTGGCCATACACGCTACTGAAATTGTGTGCCATCAGATTCTCGTGCTTGGGACTTATAATTTAAACTGTTGATGTTATTACCGAATACCGTAGGTGCTTGGAACAAATTATGGTTACCACCGTTAATTAAAATCCTTCTTTGGACATTAATGATTAAAACTTCCCTTCTCTGATACATTTGTCCGTTGAATATCATATATGGGATTAATTTTTAAAATGTGAAGTTTTTAATTTGACTCAGTATATATATATATAGATATGATGAATATTATTGTAAAACTGTTGTGACCTATCAACAGGTCTAGTACGTTTGAAAATTAATATGGCGATTGGCAAAGACGCCGGCGACAAGAAAGAAAATGAAATGATCAGTGTTATTTTCCTTAGATCGTTCTCTGACAGACATATCTCAAACACACACGTTATTTGGCTATAACAATTCACATCGAGTTGTCTTGTTTATGCAATTGAAATAACGATAAAAAAATAAAGCTGGTGCATTACTGTTGTGCCTGCAGAAAAGTCAGATTTGCTGCAAAATTGAAAATAACTTCAGGGTCAGTGGTTGCACAAACATCGTATATTTTTTCAATCATGGATGAGATATTATTTAATCTACGCAGTCGTCCGGATGCTACTATATCTAGAGACTGGTGTGGTGTGTAACTGCCTGACGACTGCTTAGTTTAAATAATATAACATCCCTGACGACTAATCACTGTCCCAAAGCAATGCAATGAGTGTCTTCCGAATGTCAACAGAACAATGTAACACAGTTACAATCATTTTTAAACAATAATCCAGTATGTAGCGCAAACAAGAAGTAAAAGGTTCGGTCACAAACACAGTATCAACATTAAACTTCAGATCACGAGTCTATCACTCGGCAGTTAAAATAACTTTATCCATCGTCAGGTACGATGCACCTTTACATATCTACATGCAACTCTACAACAGCAATATTGGGAACGATTAGAAGAGTCGTCATAACCAACAGACCATACCCTACCACAATATTCAGTTTTTCTCTGTACGCAAACGATGGAAAGACACCAGCCAGTGTAGCAGGCGCGAATTATTAAACAATCACTTCAATCTGAAAAGATATTTGAAGTCTCTTTTGATTACTGTTTCGGTAGGCAAATGAAGTATATTATTATCACACAGTATTGAGAAAAATGTACTTGAATGTGTTTATGCTCAATACCATTGACCTATAAATAATCGATATGGCGTCCACTCATCTGACACTACATTGTATACATTGCAAATGTAGTCAAAGGGAAACAAAGGGAAATAACTGTCCTTCAAAAGAAAGGTCACAGTCACTGCGTGGCAAGCTAACACGCTGCTCGTGTTTTAACTGAAAACAAACTACTACAATGTCACATAACATTTTGTATAAAATCGGTAGATGCGATGTTCTGTTGATGATCTCGGACTAGGCCCCGGGATCATGAAACACACTTCAGACCATATTTTTTCTTAACTCTAAAAAACTGCTAAAAAGGACAAAATAGCAATTCATCGGACATTTCGAGACCGATTCAACCCTCTTGATCTGTACAACGACGAAGAGCTCTGTAAGAGATAGAGATTTCGTCGTTGTACCATTTGTTTCATCGTTGGTCTAACCGGTGATGAACTGGCATAGATTCTACCCCACTCAGCGTTCCCACAGTCTCCCACCTATTATTCAAGTTTTTATATTCCTTCACTGGGGCTTTTCACCTTCAGTTGCTCAGTCGTTTTGTGACACCCATATTGGATAGTGTTTACAAAATCACGTTATACATACCCTGGTAATGAGACGCAAATACCATCACGTATATTTCAAAATTAGCTGCGATACCTACATCCTTGAATTCCTCATACATTTCAGAATCAAATGCCAAGTGGTCTTTGTCACCAATACAAATTGTCTAGATGTAATGAAGCAAAATAAATGAGAAAACGAACGCTGAAAAAGTGCACTTGTTGGAAAAGCAAACAAAGCCATTCGTCTGTTCGTTGAGTACATTGGCTCAGCATTTTCAGAATATACACGGGAAGAAAATCGTAGGGAGAATTAGGGAATTGAATATATATACATTGCAAAGATTTGATATTTTCAACAGAACTTGCCGAAGTTCCTGTCCAGTGTGACGCCATGACTGACATGACTGCAAAATCAAGCACAACTACAACGGCATTTATCGGAATTTCTGGCTATTTCCGTTGGTTTCAATGAAAAATATAACAACAAATAACAGTACACAGATTGTCAGAATGGGTCTGATTACTTACATGCCACATTTATGTATATACGAACCCTGAATCAACGAAAGTCCCCTTGTAAAATCCCGCGTAATGTTGTAAAAGTCGGTCACCGGTAGTGATGTCATACTTCAACATATTTTGTACATATTAAGTAATTTCTTTGAGATGAAGGTCCTTGAATGAAAGTACACACGATCATTGTGTCCTGCTATTTAAAGTTTCAATTATGATGTAGATCGTGCATGTCTTGTGTTCATTTTTTCACACATTTAATTTCACTTTGGATATTAATCAATGTTCAATATGATATCATAAGTAGATATAGGCTACAACATGGATGGACCGTTGATAATATCCTGTTTGTTTGAACAATGTTTACATATGAAATTGATAAGTTTATAGTGACGTATACGATATTTCTTTATTTTGGACAAGTGATACTAGATGAAATGTAAATGCAACTGCAACATGTATGTATTTCTAGGGAGTGTAATAGTCAATATTATAGGTTCATATAAACAGTGTCCACGAATAGCCGTATAACTAAACTGAAGATATAATGTAAAGAAAATTGATATTATTTTTCGTTAAAATATATGCACACATTTCTAGAAGAATTGTCTTTGTTTTGGAATTTTTTTTTATGCCGTTTGATATACAGAACAGTGATAGCTAACGATTCGCCAGTTGCGCGTTAGTCACAAACGACTTATGACTTATTCCTCTAGTTTTGCATTATATAATCAGTGGGTTCATCCTTTATCAAATATTGTGACCACAGTATATCAAACTGTTTAGTATATTTCTCCAAGAATTGTAAAAGGTTTTAAAATATAACCCGTGCCATGTACCCCGTTGGTGGACGATTATCCTTATACGATTATCCTGATAATTCTATACCAAGAGAGCTTTCTTCGCATCTTTTATGGTATAATTTTGAGACAAGATGATGAGAAATAATTACATAATAATGAACAAATACATGTCCAATACTGAATAATAAGTTTGTTTGGTTTGAAATAATCTTTGGAGTACTTGATTACGTAAAATTGATGCCAAACAGGTGCGGGTCTTGTCCAATTAAGATGCACTGTACATTATCGAATTGTTTATCTATTCAAGACACCATTTACATGGTAAACGCAGTCTTTTTATGTTGTGTCGAAAAAGCGTCAAATTCCGTTTTACACATGGACTTTATCCATACCATGAACGAAAATTAGGGGAGATATATATCAATCAAAACACCAGTGTCGTCTTTCTCCGACGTTATCAAAGACATACAAGCAGCCATGACGTCAAATAGAATTGTGTCATTTTCTTAGTAATTCATTACATTTGATGATACTGCTAGTGATCCAATTATATAGGTGCAACATTAGTCAAATTACACTTGCACAATCAGGAGAATGTTGGAATCTAAGGACTTATTTATGGTTTACATAGGTCCATCTATTTCGCTATCACTCATTTTTTATGAAGTACAATTTCATCATTTCTGCTGGGGTTTTTTTATGCCTAAACGTATACAATTTCAATATCGATATTTGTGTTGGAATAGTTTGGTTCCTCGTGAACAAAACACCACGAAAATACACTGTCCTTACCCACAGCTAATTCTCACCAAGTGACCTGAGTTACAATAAACTAGTGCTAAGCATAGCGGAGTTATGCCCCCTTTCCTTTGGACATGTGTAAATCAGTTTTCGTCATTTACGGCAGGCTATTTTTTACATTGAATTTATGTCGTTATACATACTCATATAACTCCATTTGATATATATCGATGTTGTTCAAATATTAGGCAGTATGTTGTTCGCTCACAGTTTCGGTAAAGCTGCTAAATGAATAAAAATGTCGCACAGTACTTTTATCGATGTACGCTAAAAAGCGGAGACATTTCCTGTTTTTCGACGCAGAATAAGTTCTCGGACAAAACTTAGCAGCGTCTTTTTTTCAAACCGGTTTCACATTTACAGTTAAATTTACACCATCAGATAGGATATTTAATATTTTGCATCGCTGAGTAATTTTATAGCCGGAGGTAGATCCAGTGCTGCTTGAGCGCAATTCTCGCACAACCTTCACTTTTCTAGGAAAATGTGCGTCAGAAAAATAACCTCGGTATCCAATGATTACAGTAGTGCGATATTACGCGCGCGTGTCCCTCTGACGACAGTCTTAGACTTAGACTTAGCTAAGATTTTGCTGAGACCGTTTCAAGACCCAGTCTTAGACCGAATCTTAGCTAAGCAAAATCTTAAAAACTTAAGACAAAATTCGTGCTTAGCAAAATTTGAGCTAAGACCACTTTCGTGTATCCCTGGGCCTGTTGTTTCGTCTCTTAGAGTGCAAATGGAAACCACCAAGTTTTGTAGTCAGAATTTGTACAATAATCATTAAAAGATGAATAATATCTTAAAGTCTCGATAATTGACTGAGCTAAGATTTATTTACGACAAATTTAGCGTCAAGTCATATGCTTATGACATACATGTACATGTAGTTGGAAGTGACACTGCTTTTAGCGCATATCCTTTTGATTTATGAGAAAGGTTTTTTTCGATTTATTTACAGCTAAGATAGTTCATATGCTATGAAATTTAAGATATGTTTTATTTGAGATGTTTTACTGGCTGGATCATCATCGTACGCCGTGTTGGGTCAGAGCTTCCGGTTTACCTGCACTGTAACGGGGTCATCTACAGGACAACTCCTAACCTTCAAGAGAGATTATGGAGACGTTTGTACAGTCTCACTCAACCCATGTCAACAGTTCTCAGCCCCTCCAGGTTACACCTGTCCCTGTGGACAGAGTGGCGTGTACAACATGGACATAACCAGCGTCAGTCAGAGAGATGAAAGAAGATGGGAATGTGTACTTTCTCAAACCAGCAACAACATCATACTGCCTGTTTACTGTAAGTGACAGTTATTAACCTGATACATCTGATACCATTCCTGGTAATTACATTACCACCTGTAGTAAACAGCAAAACGTTATTACTAATTTAGTCAATTATATTAACACCAATAAACATAGTTAAAAGCCAGTTACCACTTTTTCGATTTTGCCAGCAATGGACATTTCAGTAATTTATTTGGTATTAATATCACGTCAGCTGTCTTTCGGTGTAACCTAGGCTGTCACAACACTTGTAAATTTCCAAATGAATTATTACGCTTAACAAAGGTTATCTAAATTAAAATAAAATCTATTTGAAATTCTACAATGAATCTAGAAAATACTCGAATCATTAATGTGTAATGTGTACAACTGTAGGTTACAAAGTCACATTTTTTGCTGAGCGATGTGACGTCATAAAAGTGAAGATGTAGAACCAAACCTTGCAAAGATTCTTAATTATCTCTAGGGCATCTGTTTCGTGATGTCTTATTACTATCACACGTTCAGTGTCGAATAAAGTAAACAGCAAATGCTTTAGGATTAAACGTGCCGTCCTGTGAAGACTATTGTCGTTTTTTTTCCTATATCTGGATTCAAATCACAGACTCAAAGTAATTTCACTCAATATCACTTAGGACCAAGTCCAAGCGTCAAATTTATTTTAGTGCAGTTAAATCTACAGGTACTCTAACTGTCAGTGACAACACAGTATGTTAATGTCCATAGTGAATTCACCAAGTATAATATTGTCTCTTTAATATATGAAAATGGTACTTTTTTACTGTTGTTTTGTCAGGATGAATATGGAGGGGTATGATACTATATTCTACCATAAAATGTGGAAATAACTCTATTCTGATTGGTCAATCAGAGGTTGTCAAATCACAATAAACTCCCTCTGATTGAAACTGCTGGAGCATATCGTTTGCGTCACAATGAGCGATATGACGTCAGAATGGTGCTATTGAAGTATTTCAGTGCCATCAAACTGCTGGCGCATATAAAGCGCCATATTTCGTTTAAAGGCTGTTGTTAGTGATTCCGTAATTTAGATCGACAACCCACTCAAGACACTGGACTAAACCCATGTCGTTTCACTCTTTCGCGCTTTATTTAGTCATGGTGCGCGTTCGGTTCCAAATTCAATGTAGCGTGGTTATATCAACATTGGAAACACAGAATATTTATCTCCTAGATCATACCTCCACTGTTTCTCTTACTATCAAAGGCTTTATTGTTTTGATTTTGACAAATGTTCTGTAATGTTTCAGACGGACCATTCAACAACGTGACTCTAGACAAACCCTCCCCTCTGACTCTGACAGAGGATGTGACTGTGTCTCTGACTGCCAGATGTTCTGCTGACTGTAAGCCTGCCTGTAGCTACATCTGGATGAAGGGAACACAGCAGGTGTCTGACAACAGAGTGCTTCCTGTAGGCAGCTTCAAGAGAGGTCAGGGGGGAGACTACAGATGTGAAGCCAGGAACACAGCTACTGGAGCTGCAGCTGATAGTCAAACACTCACAGTGAATGTACAGTGTACGTATTAGATGTGTATTATGTACGGCACAGAGAGAGTGAGTGAGTGAGTAGGGTTTAACGCCCCTCTTAACATTATTCAAGTTATTATATCACGACGTGTCAGTTTAATGTGGGAGTAAAACCCGGAGTGATGCAGGTCTCAGACGTTTACCACTTCGGTGAAACCCAAGAGCATTGATATGGTGATGACAAACCTAGAAACATAATCGGGGCGAACCGGGATTCAAACCCACAATCACAGCTTTCTGGCGTGCCCAAGGGACGCAACTCTGCACTGTGAATCGCGGCGCCTTAGACGACCCGTGCCCCCGATACAGAGAGCGATCAGATTGGAGACTACAGATGTACAGCCAGGAACACAGCTTCTGAAGATTCAGCTGATAGTCAGACACTCACAGTGGATGTACAGTGTAAGTACTAGACGTGCATTATGTACGGTACAGAGAGAGGTGTGAGGAGGGAGACTACAGATGTACAGGCGGGAACATATTCTGGAGGTGATAGTCAGACACTCACAGTGGATGTACAGTGTAAGTACTAGACGTGTATTATGTACGGTACAGAGAGAGGTGAGGAGGGAGACTACAGATGATAGTCAGACACTCACAGTAGATGTACAGTGTAAGTACTAGACGTGCATTATGTACGGTACAGAGAGAGGGGTGAGGAGGGAGACTACAGATGATAGTCAGACACTCACAGTGGATGTACAGTGTAAGTACTAGACGTGTATTATGTACGGTACAGAGAGAGAGGTGAGGAGGGAGACACCCTATGTAAAGCCAGGAACACAGCTTCTGGAGATTCAGCTGATAGTTCGACACTCGTATATAGTGGATGCACAGTGTTAGTATTAGATTTTATGATGTGTAGTACAGAAAGCGTTGATTGATTGAGTGAGTGAGTTTGGTTTAACAGTATTCAAGTTATATCACTGCGTGTCAGCTTAATATGGGAGGAAAGCCCGAAGTGATGCAGGTCTAAGACGTTCACCAGTTTGTTGAAACCCACGAGCACGGGTAGGGTGCTGACAAACCTAGAAACATAATCAATGCGCACCGCAATTCGAACCCACAATCTTAGGTTTCTGGCGTGCCCAAGGGTCGCAACTCTGCACAGCGAATCGCGGCGCCTTAGACGACTGGGCCACCCGTGTCCCCGCAGATAGTGTTGAGAAGGAAGACTACAGACGTACAGCCCGGAATATAGCTACTGGAGCTACAACTGATAGTCAGACACTCACCATGGATGTTCAGTGTACGTATTATATGCGCATAATGTGCAGTACAGAGAGATGTGAGAAGGAGACGAAATATGTATCACCAGGAACAACTTTCACAAGCGATTTTCACTGTATGTAGTAGACGTGTATTACGATTTTCAGATAAATACCATGAGGACGAACACACATAAACAGCCAGAAACAAACTGCTACTTGTTTTGGGACCCTCGCAGTGATTGACATTAGGCCGACGTAGCCATATATGGTCAATGAAGTGTTTTTTTTCCTCAGGGCATCCAGCACAACCTACACATGACTGTCCCCCTTGGATAGTCCGAGATCAGACAGTCAGATGTACATGCCAGACATCAGACAGAGGTAACCCTTCAGGTACAGTCCAGTGGATCAGTCCGGGAGGGCAGATGATCTCCTCTTCAGTGTCCTCATCTGTGCAGCTGAATTTGACCTCAATCCGGAGTTCTGACAATGACAGGAACTACATCTGTAGGGCAGGCAACTCTCTTCCCAGCTCGAACAGTGATACAACTTACATGGCTAGCATTGCATGTGCGTACGTTTTTAGAACTATCCTGTGTATAATATGTAGTCCATGACAGTTTTAACTATTTTGCATAATGTAATTATGTCATACATGATTTAATCGGTGGCCTTCTCGGGATCTTCATCAGTGGGGCTTAATCTAGCCTATATCGCCAAATATGCTATAACATATGAACTAATGATACAAAGGGTATGTAAGTCTGACTTTATGAATTGTTATAGAACGGTCTCGAAAAATTCACGAGGTATTTTCATGTCTTATGTTTACCAAATACACATTTTTCCAGTTACAGTTATGCATAATTGCAGACTTGGAGAGACCGCAGCTGAAGTTTGACAAGGTAGAAGCACAGGAGAATACCTCAGTTACTGTAACCTGCACCGTTGAGAGTAATCCCATTGCTGAGATGACAGTAGAGGACATTGGCAGTGAGGCACAACCAACTTTTGGAGTTGCAAATACCCTCACTTTTACAATAGACAAGACACAGTGTTTGCAAATTATGTATCGATGCACAGTTAAGAACATTCAAATGAAAACTCTGATATCAACTGTGAAACAGCCCAATATTGCGTGTAAGTAGCATTTCTTGTGTCGTGGAGTTATTGTTTGAATGATGTATTTTTAGTCACATGATATGGTCGTAATATTTAGTGACTGATGCACTCAGCAATATTCAAGTTGCATTACGGTTACTTGTGAGTAGTGACCTGTGCAATCATGACGATATTCACACATCTGCATCACATCTGGTGCTTAATCCTTTCTGGTTGTCGACAATATAAATAATATATATAATTAAATTATGGATAGATCACAGAAAATAGAGTATCCAGTGGGAGAAACAATTCTTCTATTTAAATGCCGAGAAGCAACATCATTTTCTCTCTACCCAAAAAGCACAATTCTGTAAGTTACTATTTTAGTGAAACATTTAGTGAGAGCAGAGCTTAGATGATGCATAATGTACTTTACATACATGGATTATCCAAGAAAAAGAAACGACCAGTTGATCGTCATTTTATCTCCTATCATAATTTACTTCAGGTTCCCCACGTCCTGACTCTAGCAAGCAAACGGACACCATAGTAACAGGGAAAATCAAGACAACTGCTTCACTGACAGCAGATGTCATAGCCAACCCATTACCTAACTTCACCTGGTACCATTATCAAGGGATGACCCCAGTACCAGTTGTTATTGGAACAGACAATGGTGTCCTCACTAACGGTCTTCAGTCTGTTTTGAAAGTACATATAAAACGTAACGAGGATTACGGAATTTATCGTGTTGTCGTTCAGAACCGTCAGGGTATCATTTCGCTTTTCTTCGGCATAACAAAAGATGGTGAGTTTGATTAACAGTTTTGTAGGCTGTCAGTAGGTGGTTGGGTGTGGGAGGTACATGTAAGACGGATACCTACCAATTTCTATTCGGTCTAACATATAAACAATTTTATTTGCATAACACCCTTGGTCAAATCTTGGTAAATCGATCTTCTGTTTATCATTTCGTTTATACTTCCTGATCTCGTTCTCGTCGTAACTGATTGGCAGGGAGCATTGAATAAGAGTTTCATTAGACGTGATCAACTCAAAACACCCAGGGCGCTAAAAATATAATATCCGAACAACCAAACATGTGCAATAGAGATTATATGATTACATGAGCACAGACATGCCATTTAGAAAGTGGTCAAACGTAACAAATGTTGTATTTGGGATAACACTTTCTTACTAAAGTACAGATTCTGGTGCTTTTTTGGGTTGAGTCCCATCCGGGATTCGAACCCACACTGCTAGAGTGAGGCACCCCTTCGCCAGCACACAAAGTCAGCGATCTAACCCACTCGGCCATTGAGGCTTCAACAAAAAAATGAAAGTCCGACAACTGGTAGTCCAGATCACGTACTTTGTGTACCCCTCTTACATAGCAGAAAGCTATGAACACAGAGATGTCACCTAGAAAGTGGTCAGATGTAGCAAATGTTATATTTGGGATACACTTTCTCATAAAGACCAAAATGTTTTGACAGCCGCAGCCACTAATTGAAGTCTCTGTTATATTGATTTCATAATAAAGATGAGAGAACGAGAATGCTATTTATGCAAAATGCCAAACAGAGGTGTGCCCGATGCACCTTGGTTTCTGAGGTCATGACTATATGTTGTCTTTATGTAACTGACACTGAACACAGAATTACCCTCAGGATTCACAACTATGAAGTATACTTTGTGTTTGAATTTTGAGTTCTCTGCAACTGTCAAATTAGTATGTCCTTATTGTATCCAGAGGGTTGGGACTCCATCTTCTCCAGTGAGAATTTGGTCCAAGATCCTATGGTCGTACATCGATTGTTTCAGTGTCGACACCGGAGGCCCAATCGTGTAACACCCTCCCTGTAGCTGTTGGAGAGGGAACTATCATTGTGATATTGATTCTAGTTACAGTCTTCATTGCATACAGACGAAGACTTTTTAAAGGTATCAGTTTCAATACAGTCAACTACGGTTATTACGAACTCATGGGGACCACTAAAATTGGTTCGTTATATCCATTAGTAAGGATAAGCGGCAGCATATATACATATACATGGACGGGACAAGAAACACAACAGTTCGTTATATCCGTCAGTTCGATATAAGTGTGCCCGTTATAAACGTAGTTTACTGTACATGTGTTGTGATACTTAGTTATATCAGGCAGAAATACACTGCAGATCTCCAAGTATATTTATTTAACTAATTCAGAATATTGTATTTTGTCATTTATGTATATGCGCCTCAAGCACAAGTTGTCCACAAGCACCTTTGTTTGTCTAACACTTTAAAGTAGGATGCTCGACTGTGTAGTATATTCTATTACCTGGAAAATACACAAAAAGACCAAAAGGATGACGTCAAAAGACGTTCCATACAGGGTCGTCTACACGTATATTCCCTTGTAACAAAACTGTAGGTTTCCACAAGGAAGTGGGATACACTTTAAAACAATATTTCACCAGTTAACAATACTTCGTAATAACTTTGACGATGCATCATGTGAACCGTGTTGTTTTAGTTTTGCCTGAAGGGTATGCTGTTGACGATGGTAAAATAATGACAAGCCTACAACGACATGGGGTAAGGGAACACGTTATGTTGCTTGGAGCCTCTACAGACACATAAACGAGTATCCCCATTGCTTGTTCTACCACCAGTAACATGGTCATTTGAAAAACTATTAATTGGTAGCATAGTTTAATTACTTGTTCTTTTATTAATTCATCTTACATATACTTAGAAGGTAGAGCAGTTTTTGTTTATTAAGAAAATGTCACGTATAAATCCTTCGAAAGTGTCTAAACATGCCAATGTGTTTTACAGAGTATACATGGACGAGCAGTGGATGACCCCTTGTCTACTGAGACAGGCACGTATTCCAGTTCGTAATAATCATAGTTGTTATGATTCTATAGAAAAAGATATTGCCTTTGCAAGAAATCAGTAAGAAAACAGAACTGGCGTAAAGAAGAATTATTTATGCATATTCAAATTCATGTCAAATAATACAATGTAAATATATATTTTCTACATGTATACAAATAATGTAATATAACAAAACGATGAAGTGAAATTGATACATGTTACTAACATAATATTTTATTACAATCCTTAAAGTAGATGTTTATTCTGGTGTTCACGAAACGGCGGCTGACAAACAGATGGACACAGAACTGAAGGAATTCGATTCATCCACACAGGGTACGTTGACGGATTTCTTATTTTAAGATACGAGCTTTTATGTGCATCATTTTTTGTACAAGTGTTGAAAACATGTAAAAGCAAAAATGATCCTAAGATTTTAAAATGCCAGGCATGGTGATTTGAATATTTAGAAGTGTGAAGGAGGGCTTGATATTTTTTTCCGATGATCAGATGACGAATGTCAAGAATAGACATTTATATATTGCATTGCATTATTTACTGACTTTATCTTTTTAGGCTGTACAGCCTATGAACATCTTCAAGTGAGAACACCACAAGTATATGAAGACATTAAAAGCGCAACACTTGTGAATGGAACAGAAACAAACTGAGATAACTGTACATGGTAGCTTTCTACATTATGTTGTTAACGTGTGAATTAAATGTGTTCACGTATATGAAACATTTTTTTCTCGATTACCTGTCAAACACCTATTTAGTTTGATAAAGAAGAACTATTTTTGACTAGCTGAACAATAGAGCAGTTACACAGACCAGATGAGGATTTCTTAGACAAGAAACGGACATAAGGAAAGACAGAGAGGAGAAGGATATATCATTTTGAAATCGTTTTGTTTGGACATTGTTCCCGAAGAACAAAGGGTTGACTACACCTTTCCAATAGTCAACTATTCTCTTTTGTCAAACAATGTTCAAGCAACTTCATTTTTCTTATGTCTACGTTTCACAATTGTCGCAACATTACCCAACTCTTGTTCAAACGTTATTTGAAACGTTTACAACACTCAAGGCCCAAGCAATACTTTCAGATGCAATGGCTTATGCCCAAGTGTTGTTGTTGTTTTCGTTTGTGTTTTTTAGGTAGACGCTTGATTGTATACCGGTGTTTTATTCCCGGCACATCGATCTATGTGTTGACCGAGTGGTATACACCGGCAAGACGGGTCCCTTATTTGTTGTTGGTGGACTCTCACTCTCGCTCTCAGGGTGTCCCCTGTCTGTCCAATGTATTCGGCTTTGCATCCAGCACATGGTATGACATAAATCAAGTTTTTCGAAGCACAATTCATATTTTCACGGATATAGGAAGTATTTCTTTGAATGTTAAACATTGTAAAACATCAGGGCAAGTTCCACAATTAGGTCTGTTACACTTTTTTACTGTTTTCCATTCTTGTTTTCCATTTGAGAAAGAAGCCCTAGTAAAAATCAGGTTCAGAATTTGGTTCTGTCTTTTACTTTTAATAAGTTTATTTTGTAACATTTTTTGGTTTTAGTTCTTTACAGTTATTTACAAAATACAGTGTCTTCCGAACACTTTCAAATATTTCCGGGTTTTGGGGATTAAAGGTTGTTACAAAAGGGAGAACACTCTCATTAGGTTCATCTTTAGGTTTTAAAAGATCACAACGATTTTGTGATTTAGTCTTGATTATTGCGTCTTCTACTGTTTTTCTAGGGTAGTTTCTTTCTAATAGTGATTCCTTATGTTCATCGAGTCTATATTTTCCACGATCTTAATTAGATACTATCGCAGAGATTCTACATGCTAATGAGTAAAGGACACTGTGTTTAGTATGACAGGGGTGACAGGAATTGTAATTGAGGTATTGTTTGGAATAGGTCGGTTTGTAATATACATCTGTTTTAATGTTATTGTTTGAAATTGTAACCACTACATCTAGAAACGATAGATTGTTAACACTCATCTTTAAAGTAAAGGTTAAACTTGGATGGAGTGTCTGTAAAATATCTATCAAACACTGCAGATCGTCTTCATTTCGATTCCACAGAACAAAACAATCATCTCCATTCTTTTTGTTCCACTTATCTTGAAATCACTGTCCAAATTCAATGCCGAATGTTTCATCAATATTTGAGAACAGTTTTTCATCTAAATAACCAAGTACAAGAGTTGCATAAGTAGGGACCATTTTTGTCCCCATTGCTGTGCCTTTCACTTGATTGTAATGAGAACCATCAACATTTAAAGTATTATTGTTTAGAATAAACTTAATACTATCGGTAATGAATTCCGAGGTGGTTTCTTCTCGGATTTCCGAACGGTGTTTATTTATCCAGTATTCAATTGCTTCTATGCCGAGATCATTGGGAATGTTTGACTATAAACTAACTACATCAAAACTGACTAACTTTGTACCATTTTCGACTGAGGCGGGAAGTTGGTTCAGAAAAACAGTGGTATCTTTTATGTAGCTCTTGACATGTTTAGTTATTTGTTTTAACATTTTATCCTTAAGGTCACTGATTCTGTGTGTGGGACATTTTGGTCCCGCAATTATTGGCCGTAATTTGAAATCCTTTACGGGGGATGTTTTGACATTAGCAGAATTCAATGTTCGACATTTTTCTTGGATCTTTTGCTCTTATGAACTTTACGCATTATATGTATATACATACATTTGTTTCATCATTTCCTACCACTTCGTGAATAAATAATCATGCACACACCATGCTCGATTTAGTGTTATATTTTAACCAATTGTTGATAAAATATGTACGCTCATGCCTTGTGGAACTACATCCATACTAAACTGAAAAATGAAATTAAATATTCCAGTACCCGGTACTTGTTCAGGAGCTGACTAATGATGCTAGTGCAGTTACAGAGTGTGACATATCCTCTGTCCCCTCTGTCATAATCATGGATAATGACACTGATCGTTGCTCATGATAACAGTGACAGGAAGAAATGTGTCCTCCCTATTAGATTAGGTGAAGGAGATCTTTGTATAACTGAACAATTGATAAATGCTTTGAAACATAACATGATTGCGCAAACTCGTGGATATGAAGTTTACAGAGGTTATCTCGTGAGTCTTTGGGAGGATTGTAAATATTGTATTTAGCGGGCCTTGGCGAGCAACCCGTGCATACCGTAAAACGGGATCGGGTGGTCAGGCTCGCTGACTTGGTTGATGGATGTCAGTGTATCCCAAGTGCGTAGATCGTTCCTCATGATGTCAATCACTGGATTGTCTTGTCCAGACTCGAATATTTACAGACAGCCGTCATATATCTGGAATATTGCTGAGTGAGGCGATAAACAACAAACGAACAAACATAAACAAAACATTGCTCTAATTGCAATACGCAAAATACTAAAATCTGCTCCTGTTATCAATCGAGAATTCCGTACAATAATAGGAAGGGGAATTTCAACACGTACCGTTACAAACCGGTTCTTTGAAGCTCGCCAGAATAAAAGGCGTCCTGTAAAGGATGTGACCCTTGCAGCCTACCATCGGCGGTAGGCTAGGCAAGATCAGGTATGGGTTGTGTACCAATGTCTTTACACCATTCAAATTTTAGCCTTCCAGTCACAGATGGCATTAAAAGCAGCGGCGTGCGGTATGCCAGGTCTACAATTCTTGACCATGAGTTGTATGGAGTTGTACAATTACACATGTCAGGTGAACTGATTTGGTTATTGTGAATTGACATGTTGACGGAATTTTGCGTCCTGTCGTTGGCCCTAGAATTATCGGCAGACATTTTGAACTGCCAGACGACCTTGCCAGACCAGGTCTTCAGCAATTATCTCCGACGAGAAGGCATATGGACATTGAACTGCCCCTCCAAGTCACTGGCATGCCCCCACTAGAGCATCTGTGGCATGTTCTCAGCATGTATACGCCAGACACCCAACTCTCCGTAACACTCCGTAGCACCCAACTCTCCGTAACACTCCGTAGCACCCAACTCTCCGTAACATGGTCCAGCTTGGGACATCTCAACAGGCGGGATAGCGGGTAATACAACAGGCACCGACACGTAGGTTGATCAATAGTATGCCATCAAGGTGTCATGCATGTATCACCCAACATGGTGGACACACCAGATATTGAACTGCATGCCCGAAATTAGTCATTACAACTTCACTATCATTTCATCAGTTCCCTTATTTTTTTGTCGGTAGTAAATGCAGTAAACTACGGTTATAACGAACTGGAGGGGACCACTGATTTTAGCTCGTAATAACCGTAGTTCGTTATAAGCATACATACAGCATATATACAACAGATGGTCGGGACTAAAAATAAATTCGTTATATCCGTCAGTTCGTTACAAGAGTGTTCGTTATAAACGTAGTTTACTGTATGTAGAATTCGGGTTCTTGTACCCTGGTAAATTTCAAAACTACTCAAGGCTTAGGGTTGATGAAAAAGTAAACATTCTTATATAATATCATTCGAAACTGAAATGAAAATACATTGTAACTGCTTTAATCTGGTGGGAGTTTCAAAACAATATTGTATCCACGTAGTGATCACGTCAGTTACAAATAACAGGCCCTATGAAAATAGCTTTTTGCGATTATTCCGTGCCATAATTGATAATTAAAACACTTTTATACATTGATTGGTCATGGTCTCAAATGAGTTCGAAAAATGGTGTCGTAAATTCATTGTTTACAGAGTTATGGGCCTTGCTCCCAGCTCCTCAACTTACTTGCATATTGTGAAATGTGGACAAGTTTTCTCAGAAACTACTGAAGTTGCATGAAAGAAAGTACGCATGCTTATGTAAATCATTTTGTTGTAGAGTTACGGCCCTTGATCCATGTTATTTTTCTTAGTCCATAGTGTGTGAAATTGGGTTAAGTTTTCTCATGAGCTACTGAAATTGAATGAATGAAAGGTTGCATGCTTATATAAGAGAAACTTGTCGACATCGAAAATCGAAAGAGTTAAGGGCCTTGA